CATCATCATTGTTATTGTCACTGAGGCTGTGTTGGGCCACCCCCCTGCTAGCAGTGATTTTTTTCCCCGCGGTTCCTCCCCCTCCTGCTGCATTTCCCGCGGTTTACACCCCCCGGGGCTGAATCGATCACCAGCGGAGTTTTCACCGGCCCATCACTGCCACCACATCTGCTGCTGTGGCTTATTAAATCCAACATTGCTGCTTGTCGCAATTCTGCAACTTTGGTGCTTAAAGGGTTAAGTATGAGTTATCTTCATCAATTTGAATTTGTACCCAGAAATGAGTTTGTTTCAGTGAAACTCCGCCCACTACCACGCCGGAAAAATTAGCCTACAACAGCATCTTAGGCAAGTCAGCTGATATATATAGTGGCGTAGCAATTAAAAGTGTCACCCTTTCGTCTGGTTTCGCCATGTCCTGACACCGCTTTGACTCCCGGTCATTGGCGGTTTTAAACGGGGGCCCACAGGGGCCTGGGCCCCTATTGAACCGGCCCTGGCCCCTGCTATGGCCCCTGTGCTGAAGAGATCGGATTTTTTTTCCCGCTCTGCCTCGGAGACGGGAACTAATGCGCTGCAGCGTTTCACACGGAGCCTTTAGAGTGCAGCACACTCTGTGGACAGAACTGTTAACCCGGTGGATTTTTGAATAAAAGATTAAAATAGTTTAAATGGGACCCGAAGAAATTCTTGAGGACGACTAACGGAAAAGACGCTAAGAGACGAAGGTAAGCAATACAGTTTATTTTCCTGACATCAGTGTTTTGATCGTAGTCGCGCGTTTCTGTCATTTACTTTTAAGTTCCTAACTGAGTCTATCCACAGTTGATACTGATTTGTTTTTTCCTTTGTAACATTAACTGTAAAATAAAAATGAAGTTGCTGCATTTTAAACCTTAGACATGTTGAGATTGGATCACAGTATTCATTTATCAATGACTTTCTCACAGCACTGACTGGAAGCATCAGTGGCCATGAAAAGAAAAAGGGACATTTTATCCTTTTTTACCGCTGTTAATAAAGAACAGCATAGACAGAGAGAGGATGAAAGTCACGAGGGAGCTGAGAAGCAGGATGAAAGAGAGAAGGAGGAGTTGGTTGGAGAGGAACCAGAGAGGTCAACGGCTGTCCACCCTGAGAGTGAGGAGGAAGATGTAGGCTGTGAGGGAGAGAGTGAGGAGCAAAAAGAGGGACATCTTCTGTCATGCGCACCGTGTTCACTACCGACAGGTTTGTGGGTGTTGAACAAACCCTCTGTGATTGCAGCTCATATTGTGATTAAAATGCATTTGAGGCATGCTGACTCTGGAACAAAATTTCTGTTGTTTATATTTAATAAATAGATAAAAAAAGAGGACTCTGAATCAACTAATTATGACTTTTATCCTCATGCTAACATTTAACTGACATTTCACCTTGAAACTGTTGCGATGTAACCTTCCCCTCACCCACATCCTAACCTTAACTCAGAATGTCTGTGTAAATTTTCAATTAAGCGTGTTTGAGAGAAGCAACGGAACGCGGAACAAAGCTTTGCATGCGCAAGCTGGTTAAGGTTAGAATTGGGGTGAGGGGAAGGTAAAATAGGTCACAACTCGGTCAAATGTCCGTGTAACCGTGGGCGTCGGATACCGACTCTCTGGGACAGTGCATCCTCTCCTGATGCGCTGGGGCACCCTGAATCGTCATATTTTGACACTTGGTCACACGCGTCATTTTTCGACGCTTAGGATGTGAGAATGTGTTGACTTCCAGCGAAGGCGAGTTTCAGATTCAAGACTAGCTTCGGGGGGGGGAGGGGAAGCAGGGCCTGAAGATGCACAGGAAAATGCATGAACGCTGCCCAAAAATGGTTTGGTGGTGTTTTTCAGGAAAAAATAACAATATCACACGATAAAAAGCTCCAGAAAGGGGATTTTCCATGTGATTAGTGAGTCAAAAATTTGATTCTTCAGAGGATTAACTTGACCTGACATAATTACGGAATGGGTGTGACAAATGTTAAACATTATATTTAATTACACTTAAGAGAAAAGCAGCTTAAAAACCACATAATCTTAAACATCTCAACAAGGGAAGACAAAAATACCAGTAATAGGTTTGAGATATTGGTATTAACTGTTGACAACACAAAAGTGAATCTGAAAACTATTTTTTAAAGACAATGAGATTGATTTGGCACAATTAAAAGAGCAATTACCCAAGCCCATCCCTGGTGGTGGTGGTGGTGGTGTGTGTGTGTGGGGGGGGGGGGAGCAACAGGAGTAGTTATTAAATTTCTCTGATGATGCTGAAAGTTTTAAGCTCCTAAAGCCAGGTTTGGCTTTTCTCCATGAAACGCTACACCTTAATTTGACGTTTTTGTGAGTGATGCTTGAGATCTGAGAACAAGGCCAGATAAATGTCAAATGCCACCCACACAAGTTACTAAGGCCCGACAGAGGAATGCTAGCCAACGTGTGTTTCAGCACCTACTCTCAGTGGAATAAATACTGCAGATAGACACAAAAAAACACACTGAAATGTAGCGACAGCCAGAGGATCCTTTTCTCAACTTACAAGACTTCTGAAGGCGGTTGAAAACACACGTAGAAAGCTGTTAAAACACAAACCCTGGGAAAGTGACAACAATGTTTTAAAGCAGCGGGTGTGACTGCAGCCAGGATTTGTCCTGGGAGTAAAAAAAACTTAAGGGCTAGTATACGTAGCGTGGTGCAACTAGATGAAGCAGGTGGCCTTTAAAAAACGAGACAGGTGACCGCGACTTCACCACACAGGGACACCACGGCAAAAGGAGGGAGGTGATGAACTACGTTGGCGATATTACACAAACAGCCTCAGCAGCTTTCTGCTGTGTTACAAAAACAGCAGAACTGATCCAAGCCTCTACATAAACAGATAATTCAGATATTTAAGGAGGCATACCAAGATTTTTATTGGCCGTCTCGGGTGGTTGATGGATTTTGTTCCAAGATACACAACAGAAATCCCGATAAGGACATAATGTTTTATCTGTATGCGGTTTGTACCAGATTTGGTTAAAGTGTCTTATCTCTTTTCAACAAACGAAAACGTTGAGTTCATGCTTGCTTGGGCTGAGTTTCATTTTGATGTCACTGCAATCTTTCAGTGTTTAATCAGATTTAAAGGTTGAAATTAAGACTTCCTTGCCCTTCAGTCCATGAGAATATGAGAACAGAGATGCTGCTATTGTTGTATGTTGCTCAGCCTGCAATGTAAGGTTGGAAAAAAAAAAGTCCTACTGGTTAGGTCTGACTTTTAGAAGTGTGGAGCCTAAACAAGCAAAAAGTATAAAGTAAAAAAAAAAAAAAAGAAGAAAGAAAAAACATTTTATTGGATAAAGCTCCCAGACACTACCAAGGGAATAGAGCCTTTTGAGCAGATTCCTGGTTCTCATATCCTGGAAAAACTAAAACATAAAAACATAAGAAGCTATATCTGTAAAACGGGTTAAACTCTGAACACATGTGGTTCATGTTGTGACATTAACCACACGGGGCTGCTCTACCTGACCGGAGCTGATGGAAATCATAGGAGGCATTCATGAACTCATGTGAATACTTAGTTCAAATGAGCGCTGGGGCACGAAAATCTAAACCAAACTTTGAAACTTTGGTTGAGATCCTAGAAACAGAGACACTGAGGAATGCTGCCGTCAGACTCGGCGAGCGGGTCATTCCAGGACAACAGCTTGTTCTGCGTGTGTGAGAGGGAGGGGAGCTCCAGGATGTGGGGTGACTACCTCGATCGATTGAAAACACACGCAAAAAAGAACAGCCAATAAAGAAAAGCAAACAACAACCAAACCCCCTCATATAAAGCAGATGCAGTCACACACAGCAAATGTGGACACACAAATACTGCTAATAGCATCTTGAACATTTAGGAGAACTTAACCCTCTCAGGATCTAAATAGGTTTTGATAAAAGGACGAACAACTAAGCCCTTCAGGGGTACTGCTGAGTTAAAAAATGCTCATGAAACACGTATGTGGAGTAAACAGGTAGGTAGGTTTTAACATTGCAAATCTGCAACGCCTGCCTCCAGAGGGTTAATGATGGAGGTCTTGGAAAGGTTGCAAGCTAAATGTGCACAGATCCACTCAGTGGGTGGTTTTTCTCCATTCCAACAAAGGTCAGCCAATTCTCTAAAACATTAACATTATTAGAATCTTTCAAGAACAGAAAATCATAAATTTGCTAACCTTCTCAGAGGGGTGTGCATGCACTAATGACACACAGAGGTGCCACTGCTTCTTATTAAAAGTTAAACATAGATCCAGTTTTATGTGAATTGTTCTGGATTGAGACTGTGCCAACAAAAAAACGCAGCGTGGCTGCAGAATAACATGACCTGAAGGAGAGTCAGGGAATAATCCACCTCCATTTCTAAAATAAAATAAAAAAAGGTCTTTTGGAATTCATTGCCATTAAAAATAAATTGCTGTGTGCTATTTTAGTCAGGACTCCAGCAGGGAATATGTGCAGTCTCATTCAAGAAAAAAGATCCTGTACAGCTGTTACATAAAACACCTGTTGAGGCGAAATAACACAAAACAGCCAAGCCAGCAGACGACCAGCAGGAGAAAGGACTTCCTTCCTCCGCTCTAGGCAAACAGGATCAAATCATGAACGAGACATTATGGATGTCTTCAGGCGTCATACGTGTCCAGCTTAAGGGCTCGTTTGGTTTTGATCGACACCGACTGATCTTAGAGGAAGAACAGAAAAACAGCGCCCACAAATGTAGGGAAAGGAATGATGAACGATATAAAATGCAGCAGGGTGACGCGATTCCTCCGACATCACATATTTATATTACTGGTCAAGATCACTCAACTTCGATTCCCTACCTGCATTTTAATTTTTATCAAAGTTAACCAAAGTCTGGAAGGAGCTATTATCTATTTCATAACTGAAATTTGTAGGAAAAAAGCACATCGTTTTAGCAATCCCACTAATTTTAGACTTCAGACTCACCTGTCCATCCTGACCCACGTGCACCTGGTGAATCTGAAGGTTTCCCTAAAATAAAAAAAGAGACACGTGAGTCTACAGAATGGCAATAAATTATTTGATTGTAATGCCGTGCGATAAATATATATTGATCTAAATCATCAGTCAGTGCAGAGTGAACCTCCTCTGATCACCTGCATGTAAAAAAGCTGATGTCTAGACTAGAGAAGCATCAAAACGCTGGTTTCTGCCAACCCCTGCATGATCAGACAGAGTTTCTGAGCATGCAGATGTTGGCGGTGTTTACGCGGCTCATAACGAGAGGTGAACGACATCCCCTTGTGTTGTCAATGGCTGTATTATATCTGGCTGCAGCAAACAAGAAGAATCTGCTTATGACACCGTAACAATCAAGTCAGCACTGTTTTGTGTACATTTGCTGCTCCGTCTGATTTTTCATATGCTCAGAGAGAGCAGCACAATCTCTGAAGCAGTTAATTTCCTTCTCAAGTACGCTGAAACCAACGTCTTTGATGAAAGGGGCCCGTTTCTAATGAAAGCATGTTCTGTGAGGGGCAGCTGGCAGAAGTGGGGTTTTGTTGCTAAGCTTTGAACTCCAAAAACAAATAATATCTCGGAATAGGAAGGAGACGGGGGAAGAAGAAAAAGAATTTTGGACTCGGCCACAAAGAGCAGGAAAAGCTTTGGAGGTTTTTCTGCCTTCAATTTATTGTGTCTCCCTCTCCTTCAGTTTTGCGTTTCGTCCAAAAGGTCCTTTACCACTACGACTGAAAAGGAAATGAGAAAAGCATTTGGTTAAGGTGTCAATTGCTTCTGCACAAATGTCAAGCCGTCACCCATGTATGACATGTATCATGTTGAGTATTTGATTACATGTAAGAGTGTGTACATAAACTGGCGCCTTGAAATAAATCTCTCTCCCACATCCTTGAAAAATCATTAACAGTGATGCTGATGCAGAAGTTCCTCTTTAACAGTTAGTGTGGTTTGGAGGTAAATTATAATGTTAAATGGCAGGTTGTGTGTATATGGAACGATGTCTTATGGCCTACAATGAGTCACCTGAGCGTTATATGGAAACAGCTCTCTGCATAAGTTGTTATTTATACTGTATAAATAATACTCTACTCCACATAAAAGCTTTTCTTTTTCCGGCTTTCACTAATGTCTTAAACACGGTCCGAAAACACTTGGGTGGAACTTGTTTTATTGTGGTTTTTGAATAGAAAACAGAAACTGACAATGTTGAAAAATGTGAGGTACACCTCGGATATCGCACTCTGCACTCCGACAAGTCATTAGCAAATCTGTGGACTGGCCATTAAAGAAACAAAATGTAGTTTTTACCATTAATCCCTAAATATATCCATTGAAATGTTGTTGAAAATGAATCAAATGATGCTCAGTTGTTGAAAAATATTGGCGGCCTCATAAAATATGACCATAAAAATTGGGTCAAAAATGCATCTAAGTCTCTGGGAGACACGATGTTAGATGCAAAGTTTCCTTCTACGGGAGCCCGTGAGGAAAGAAGTATTTAATGATTTGTAACAAGCAATTACAAAACTTTCACCATTCGTTAATGATGTTGTTTTACACATTTACCTCTTCACTTGTTGCCAGTGTTGACGGTCATTTTGTTGGAGGTTGAACAATCTGATGAAGTACATGATCAAAAATAGCGCACTCAGGGATTTTAGACCGTAATGACCATCCGTTGGTAAGGTCTTACTCAAACACAAAAATACTGCATGCTAGCAATGTATGCACAGCTTCCTATCACCAGGGAAAATACACACTGTCACTTTAAGGAAATTATCTACAATGCTGATCATCATTTTTATACAAAAACACACTTCAAACTGTCCAAATTATCCACTCGTGTTTGCATTTGTCATTCAAATGTTTTGTGTTAGAAGGGAGGAGAGGTTTCATTTGCCAGCGCTGACCTTATCTATGGAGTGCCACAAGGGTCTATTCTTGGCCCTCTCTTCTTTTCCATAAATTTACTGCTACTTGGTAATTTTTCCACTGACGCAAAGTGAGGTTTCACCTATATGCAGATGACTGCCCTGTTTATGTTCTCCTGAAACTTTGATTTACTAACTTTTACCAAAGACAAAACAGAGGTTATTCATTTCGATTCAAATGACAGACCCCTTGCACATCTGATTTGACCTCACTGGCCAGATGTAGGTCTATGTATTTCTCTTCTTCTTTTATGCAAAATTTTATGTAATTGTATAAATAGTTCCCAAGGAAGAACAGCAGCAACATAAAATTGGAAACTGTGATCCATGTGTTTATAACCTCATGACTGGATACTGTAACTCCTTGCTCACTGGATGGTTCATAAGTCTGCTGCTAGATTTTTTATAGAAAAGAAGAGAGAGAGAGAGAGAATACCAACCCACTGTTAACTGCATCCACTGGTTTCTGGTTTGGTATTGAACTACTTTTAAAATTATTTGCTTTTCAAGTGTTACATGGAAAGGTTCCCACATATTTGTTGGATCTGCGAAGCAAGAAGAAGCCACCTTGCACACTTAGGTCAGCTGATCAGTGCCTGTTGGTCGTTTCTAGGTATAAATGAACCAGAGAAGGGGCCGTGCTTTTTCAGTTGTGGTCCCAAAGTTTGGGGAATGATCTGTCATTAAATTAAATCACTAACAAACTTTAAAAATAGGCTGAAAACACATTTTTACTTGTTAGCTTTTATGCTAATTTCACACTAGCCGCTGCTGTTTTCAGTATTGTGTGTTTTGGCGAATGTATTTTAACTTGCACTTTTAATTATGCAGTATTTTTCCATGTGTACTGTAAAACACTTTGGATATTCCTCATATTATTGAAAAGTGATTTATGAATAAAGCTGATGATGAGAAATCTTAATTTAATCGCCAATGAACGAAATATATTGCTGCACTTCCACAAAATGAAAACTAATTTCCTTCTTTAAAGACAAAGCCAGCAAAAGCATGCTTGCACGAATTTTGTGGATAATTTAAACCATTAAGCAAAACAATGATTGTCAGTGTTACCACACTGTAACTAAATTGCCAACCACTTACAAACTGGCATTCCCAAAAGATGGAAGATATCAGTGATTGAATGCCCTGCCAACCTCTCAAGCATGAATGAGCTGCAACAGTTATTCCCTGTTTGGAAACAAATGTCTCTGAGTGAGGCATTTACTGAGAAATTAAATCCATCGGGAGGGGAAACCGGTCAACTGTGTCTCAACTTCTGTCACACATGCACACACAAACACTTGCCTCACTGTCCTGTGTGATCTGCACCTCCTCCCCTTGGGGCACCTGGGCAATGTGCAGCTGTCCCTGTGGAATCTGAGACGAAGATAAAAAATTACTCAGAATTACAGGCACTGGGGGAAAAATTCATGCCAAATAATAACAGAAATACGAGTCATTTTAGTGACTCGTAGAGCAACATAAAGGTCAAGAAAGCCTGTTTTGTTTACCAGAGAAACAGAAAACTAAAACGTCGCTCACCACCTGAACTTGTCCATCTTCACCAATGCGGTGGAACTGAACCTGCTGATTGGCCAGTGTGTAATGCAAAGTCTGCTGGGTAGCCGTCTCAATGTGTGCAGGTTCCTCGTTCATGTTTTCATCTGCTGGCGAGGACAAGGAGTTCACAAAGAACAACAAAAAAACAAAAAGGCGATTAAGGAGAAAATAAATCAACGCTGCTCGTGAAAGCAGCCAGTATCCTTCCAGCATGACAAAATAATCCAGTTTTGTTTACATTAAACTAATCTGCGATAACGCATCACATACACAACTTTACAAAACAAAGCTGTCTTCCATCTGTCACTGACACCGCTGTGTACTGTATTATATAAATAATTCTCCGTACTTCCAATCACCAGATGAAGCAGGAATTGCCAGGTGGCTTTCGGAGGCTAAAGAGTTTGTTTGAACTCTAAGTGATGCAAATTAGTTAGGATTTTTAAAAAGAGGTGCCTTTTCCCTGTTCATTTGACACGTAATTTGATTAAAGACAGAATTGCTGTTTGGTCTTGTGCATGTGTGCTGCATGCTGATGGATGCATCTGAACAAGCATTTGTGCTGTGCGGGTAACACTTTATAATAACTACATCTTATTTAGTCTTAATTACACATGAACACGCATGTAAGTAACTACTAACAAATAATTAATTAACAATGACTCTTACTTAATAAACAATTAAGCAATGCATTAATTAATGCTTTGTTTTTATTAAGTAAGAGTCATTGTTAATTAATTATTTGATAGTAGTTACTTACATGTTTGTTCATGTGTAATTAAGGCTAAATAAGATGTAGTTATTATAAAGTGTTACCAAAAAATGGATTAATAAGAACTCTGTTCATGATTTGTTAATTATGAATAAGCCATAAATAAACAGCTTTTACATGAAACTAGTCATTAGAAGTTAAGCATTAATTAATGTGTTAGTCAGTTGCTTAAAGGAATTTTGTTAATGGTTTGTTACATATGAATAAGAAATGAGTAAACAGCTTTTAAAAGGGACTAATCGTTAAAAATAAAGCATTAATTAATGCATTGGTTAATTGTTTATTAAGTAAGAGTCATTGTTAGTTAATTAATTATTTGTTAGTAGTTACTTACGTTTGTTCATGTGTAATTAAGGCTAAATAAGATGTAGTTATTATAAAGTGTTACCGCTGTGCGCTGTGGGGCGTGCGTGGTCAGAAAAGGAAAGGCCTGACAATCTACCCCAAGTGTTTCCCCCTCACAGGATATTTGGGTTTCCCCTGCAGTGCAAAGCTTCCCTGGTCAGAGGTGAGAGGTGATAACTCACAGGAAAGGAGCAGAAGGGCGTCGTGTGTGGATAGTAAACATTTGAAGCACCAGACTTCTTGATATCTGGAGGGTCAGACTGCATAATAGCTTTCATATAGCTGATAAAATAAGATGACTTTGAGTTCACTGCCTGTGACTGTGCCAACTGCATAAACTGACAGCACAAGATTAATGGATTTTATAAGCATAAATTATATTCTGCCTTTTTAAAACTAAGAACGCTCAAAGCGAGTAGAGCTGTAACGTGTGGATGAAGCAGGTAGAAAGGCTTTTTTAATTAGATCTCACAACTTTCTCCTTTAAACACATCAATACATGCCATCACCGTCTATGTGATAGTGTAGCTAATCATACATAACTCCACACCTGCTCTTTACCTGCAGTGGAACTGCGGGGTGTGCGCTTGGAGAAGCTCTTGACTGCCAGACTCTGGCCACGTTGCTTACGTCTCCAGGCGGTGCGACACTTTGAGTCGATGCTTTGTTTGATGCGATACCAGTCCGACTCCGAAATGCCAAATTTGTGAAACAAGTGGCCTGATGGACACAGAAAATTACAGACAAAATATTATCATACGAGAACATTTATATCCACAAACTGTTGACGTTAAAATGTGAACTCTGGATGTTTCAAGCGTTACATAATCAGTCAAATCAGAGTATAGATGATCAAAGTCTATATAAATAAAGTTATGAATTCAAATGATGCAATATTTGGATGGAAAACTTTATTCAAATGAACAAGGAAAATAAAATAGTCTAGTGTACCCTACCACGCGGAGTATGTTGATGCTTTTATTTTGATAAGCCACACTGTAGTTCACCAGTGTTTCAGCTGACTCATTTTCTTTAATAGTCACAATTTACAGAGGAACATAAGTATTTGAATAGCAAACCTATTAAGAAACCATAGAGGCGTCTGAAATTCACATTGTAGACACATTCCCACTGTGAGGGACAACATATTTTTTTTAAATCAGGAAATCACATTGAATGTTTTTAAGAGTTTTTTTGTATTGCACTGCTGCACATAAGTATTTGAACACCTGAGAAAATCATTGTTAATATTTGGTACAGAAGCTTTTGTTTGCATTGCAGAGGTCAAACGTTTCCTGTAGGTCTTGACCAGGTTTGCAGACACTGCTACAGGGATTGTGGCCCACTCCTCCACATAGATCTTCTCTAGATCTGTCAGGTTTTGGGCCGTCGCTGAGCAACACAGTTTTAGCTCCTTCCAAAGATCTTCTACTGGATTTAGGTCTGGTCTGGAGACTGGCTGGGCCACTCCAGAACCTTGATACGCTTCTTTTGAAGTCGCTCTTTGGGAATCCTGGCTGTGTGTCATCGTCAGGTTGGAAGACCCAGCCACGACCTATCTTCAATGCTCTGACTGAGGGAAGGACGGAAAATCTCACAATACACAAGTGCCCCATTCATCTTCTCAATACAGTGCAGTCGTCTTGTCCCCTTGGCTTAAAAGCACCCTCAAAACATTATGTTTCCACCTCCGTGCTTTACAGTAGGGATGGCTGTGACTCATCCTTCTTTTTCCTCCAAACACAGCTAGTGGGGTTTATTCCAACAAGTTATTTTTTTAGTCTCATCTGACCACATGACTTTTCTCATGCCTCCTCTGGATCATCAAGATGGTCACTGGCAAACTTCAGACGAGCCTGGACATGTGATGACTTGAGCAGGGGAACCTTCTGTGCAATGCATGATTTTAAACCATGATGGCATACTGTTCAACTAACAGACATTAGAAACTGTGGTCCCAGCTCTCTTCATGTCATAGACCAGCTCCTCCCATGTAGTTCGGGGCTGATTTTACTATTCTTATCAGTGATATCCCGCCTGGAGAGACTCACAGTCGCCTTTATCCTCTTCCATTTTCTAACAATTGCTCCAACAGATCCGTTTTCACCAAGCTGTTTAGCATTCGCCCCGTAGCCCTGTGGAGGTCCACAATTTTGTTTCTGGTGTCTTTTGACAGCTCTTGGGTCTTGCCCTTGATAGTAGGTGGAGTCTGACAGCGGAGTGGACAGGTATCTTCAGCAAGGTCAGACAAGTGCTACTAATTTAGATTAGTAAGGGGAGTAGAGGTGGACTTTTTAAGGCAGAGTAACAGGTCTTTGAGGGCCAGGTATTCAAATACGCGTGTTCCTCGCGGTACACATCAACCAAAAGAATGCTGATCATGGTTTTTATCTCTAATCGAACTGCCTTACCATCAAATACAAAAACAGAGATCTAAAGCCAATGTTTTCTGGTCTCCAAGATACAAAAGCTAGACACAATTTAGCCGCCAAACTAAAAGCAGAGCAATTTATTTTTAACAGAGTTGCTTCTTCTGTAATCACACATACTTTTTTAAGAAGAAAAAAAAAAAAGACTGTGACCACTGTCTGGATTCTGTTTACTTCTCCACTCCTACTGGCAAGTTAACACAGGTCCTGACTGTGTCTACCCCTCTCCTCGCATGTACAGGTGTACTTTGTGGCTGTCTAACCAACTTTATAAATTGTTCGGAGGGCGAGAGCCACTTGACAGCTCGTTTTATTTCAGTTAGCAACCCAGCTACAACCTGTACAACCCGAGGACAGAAAATGAGATGGGAGGGTTATCTGATGGTATTGGGATGACACTATACGGCGGCCCTTTTGCACCTGATGGGTCCTGCACAGACAAGCAAGACAGGTGCTCCTTTTTTTTAAGACAGGCAGAATGAGTCACCCAAAAGTCAACCAGCTCTGCTCCTCCTGACTCTACATACTTCAGTGTCAGACCAAATCTGCATGTAACTGCACACACAGACTTCCAAGAGGAAACATAGGTAACAAAGAATAAAAACGCCTTTGTTTAGAGACCAAATGCAAAAAAGGGGGAAAAGTGGAGGAAAAGTCATTCTTATGTAGGTTTCACTGGGTATTTTCTCAAAAAGGAGATGTAATTTCACTAAATCTACAAGTAGACACGGGTGCTTAGTCATGAATTACAAATAACTGAGTGCAAAAAAGACAGAAAAGAGCCAAAATGAGAAATACAATGCCTGACTTCTTTTTAATCTTTGTACAGCTGGCCAAGTGGACAGGAGTGGGCGTGAGAGACAAATCTTTTTCTAATCAAAACTTACAGCAAATGGCCAACAGACATCCCCTTTCAAACGCTGAGAAGTATGAGCAAGGGTACGCAGCGCTGTCCAACTATATGACACCGAGCTTAGACAGACCCTCAGTTTCACTTTATGTCCGCGTACACCACAAAGAAATGCTTAATAAAGCTGACTCAACTCTGCTGGATAGGTTTGAGCCAGCAGGGGATCTTTTATTACCGTCATGATCCAACTAAACATAAAGAATATGGCCGATGGGATCGCATACAGAAAATGTGTCAACCATCGAAGGCCTTCCTGAGCTCAAAGAGTTCCTGAATTAACATCTTTCCACCAGACATTGGTACGTACTAAAATGTGTTACGAATTAATGTGAGTATGCTGTGATTAATGCATGTTGTCTTAAGACACCATGGGAATACAGACTGTGGCCTATTTCTGTGTTCTATTCAGCTCTGCACCTTAACAGCACAGGAACACAGCATGGGAAGGTCTTGGAGAGTTCATTTATGCTAAAGGGACTAAATGTTAAAAGCTCCTAAATTTCCTGCAGGATTAAATCTGTGACAGAAACCACGTAGTATGAAATACACAGTGGTGCGCGACTCTGACTAGGACGCTATTAAGACATTTTATCCACTTAATCATTACAGAGTTAAGTGGAGTTCAATAGTCTGGGGGGCTGAGGCCCCCAGACTCTGGGACTCTCTCCCCCTGAGCCTGAGATCAGTGGACTCAATGGTCTCCTTTAAAAAGCAGCTGAAGACTCACTTGTTCAAGCTGGCTTTTGTATGACCTTCTTCACCACTCTCTCTTTATTCTGTTCTCCCCACCTATTCCACCTTCCTCAGGATCCACTGATTTCCCTCTTTCGTGTTCACTTTCTCTCTTTCTTAACATTTTTTAATCACAATTGCCTATTTTTGCTCATTTTAAATATATTTTTAAACATTTTCTAAATGCTTTTTTATATTTTTACATCTTTTGTTTTTGTGAAGCGCCTCGTGATTTTTATCTTGAGAGGCACTATAGAAATGATACTTTCTTCTTCTTCTACAAACCGGTAGGTTTTCATATTATTATTCTTGTGTTCATCCATCTATGCCAGGGGTCTGCAAACTGCAGCTCTGGAGACACAAGTGAATCTTTGGACCTTCCATAACAGCTCTTAATAACTTTGACAATTAAAGACAAGAAATTTCACTCGTTTAAAAAAAATTGTTAAAAATGCAGGTGTAAGCTGCTTTAGGGTTTATTTTTTGCGTGGAATATTTATATAAAGTTTCCATAACACACACAAAATGAATCTGAATCATTTTTAGATCTATTTGTTTTTTTTTTCCTTCATCTTCTGCAAATCAACATTAAATAGAAAGAAATGTCCATGCAATTTTAGGAAATTCATTTTTTTAATTTTAAAACCTTATATTAGAATCTAAATTGTGCTGTTTTGTTGAAAAAAGGACAACAACAAAAGAGATTTCTGGCTTCAGTCTTCAAAAAATTGTTATAATTCTGATTTTTGTCTCAAGAGTTTGAACTTTTTTCTCAGAATTTTGAGAAAAAAAATACTTTTTTTCAGTGGGTGTAATCCTATTTTGTAGATAATGTGTATTCATAAAAATTTGACTAAATAGTCTTTTCTCAAAAGGTTCTGTTATGGTTGCGACTAAACAAGTTTCATTTTGGTTGACTGAGGGCAAAACGGCTCTTTGGATAGTAAAAGTTGCAGACACCTGATCCACACCTATGGTTTTTGTGCAGCTGATGCTTGAAGACATTTGTCACAGCTGGTAACTTGTGCATGTAACCAAGCATATATGGACAAGTGTTTATCTAATAACCAGAGACATGATTCAGATGTCAACGGCAGGCGGAGGTGGGTTTTTTTTTTTTACTTACAGCGAATGCCATAAATCATGAGTGGGTCTAGCTGCTTCTTTCCATGTTTTCCCTGCCCAGAGAGATTGGACATGGCCTGGACCTCTCGGTGGAACAGGTAGTCCAGCAGCGTCAGCGCCATTTTTTCCGCTGTGCGGCAGTTTGTGCTGATATAGAGCATATCAGACAAAGAAATTGGGCAGCGGACTCGCATCTCTGTGTTGCTCTCGTCTCCCAGCCAGGTGCCTTCTGGATAATCATCTAAGAGGAAATGAGAAGAGAGAAATAAATTCCTCACCCACCAGCTTCAATTATCCTTTAAGGGGAATTTGTAAATCACATTGAGATGTAGAGCACTTTGGTAGCTTTATTTAGCCTGATACCACCGAGAAACAGCTAAATATATTCATTCTATCAAGCTTCGACTCACCAATTGATAAAAATCACAAACCCCGTGTTTCCCTGATGTGATACAACAGCACCCCCAAGTGGCTGTCCACATGAAGTGAAGGAAGTCAGGATCAAACTGTTGCCCTGGATGTTTGCTGGGAGCACGCGTTAGCTGTTAAGTGCACCACATTAACAAGGCCTGGGATGGATGCTACCAGCCAGCTAATGCTGATTACAGCACAGCTGAAAATAAAAGAAAAATATAACTTTGAGGTTGCCAAAAAAAACTTCCGTCTCTTAAAATTACCAACCAAGAACCACAGAAAAAAATAAAAAACAACATGGATTTTAATTAGTTTTGCAATTCAAAAAGAGTAATGGTCTTCAGGGTTCGACCAAGCTACTCGATGGCGTGCATTAATACGATCGGAGCTGGAAACATCACCAGATCTTAACTTTTTTCATGCTCTGTTATTTATGAGGATTATGTGCCCCTAACCCGTAGGAACAAAACAATCAAAATAAATAAAACATGGTTGAGAGCGAGTTTTTGTCCATTTCTAACCAAACAGAGAAGAGAAATGATCTTACGTCACACATTTAGGCTCAATACCTGCAGGCGAGGCCTACCTTCTGAATTGAGTGTGATGAGGGTGATGTTTTGGCCGTTTTGCGCGCTGCTTGACTGACCGCTGTTAGAAACAGAGTCGCTGGCCTCTGACCCACTATCCTGCTCCTCCTGACTCTCTTCAGGGCCCGGCACCTTCACCAGGATTGTGTTCTGACGCCTCCTGGACACTGTGCTGTAAACATTGTAATACAATGACAAAAACCCAGTTACACCTGATTAACGTAGGTAGTGAAACCAAACAGGAGGCAGAATCATTGACGAAACACGGCGTTAGGACGGACTTGTGTTCGACGCTGAACTATGAAAGTGAGATACGTACTTGCTGAGCATGTTGTCTAGCGGAGTGTCCTCCTGAGGGGAGATCTTCGGGTTTTCTCGGCTCACGATCACATTTGTTTGTGGGACAACACTAAAAGAGAAAATCACAACAATTTGGTAACAAATGGCTAAAATTTAATAACAACATCATTTATCTTGTTGACGTGGAAACTGGGCGTTTAGAGCTTACCAGCGGACTTTGTTCCACGTCTGAGTGGCCCCCTGAGGTGACCCTGCGACCATCGAAACCTGGACAGGACTCTTGCTGCAAGAGGTCATACTGTCTAGTTTGCGTGCGAGAGATTTACACGTAGAGTCTAACGACTGTAGCTTGGACTCAATTCCTTCCAGTCGCTGGCACAGCGAATCGTTAAATGACACCAAAAGATTCTGGAAAAGGAGAATAAAAAAGAAGAATGTTTGTGCACACATAAGGACTTTTAGCACCATCCTTTCAGGCTTGCTACCTTAATTAAAGTTAAGTCCTGGCTGCTGTTATTGTTCTCCTGGATGTTGATGTTGCTTAATTTTCTCTTCTTCTTCTGGGTTCTTTCTTCAGCATCTTCGTGATTGCCCAGCATGTCTGGCATGAATGAGACATAGAGACACCCTCAAACCGACACACCAACACACTTCTTGCTGATTTCAGTTGCTGTCCAGGCATGTATTATTCATGCTGTAATCAGCAGGAGATCCGAGTTGGAGCTGAATCCCAATTCCATATAAAAGGCTGGTGCATAAATCTGTGCAGCAAACAATCGGCAGAGAGTAAAACAGACCCAAAACCTAATTTAGAATCAACTTTTATTTGATTTTGGCTGATAAAATGTTGTTTTCTAATGCTGCGTTCAAGAATATAACTATCTGATGAAAAAAAAGGTAAGTAAAAAACGTCAATATTGATTAATTCACTGTAAAAATGTAACATAACAAGAAATCCTACCAGAGTGGTTGTTGTGATCAAAATCTTCCACTGTTATTTGAACAATTTCATCCAACTCTTGCCCAGACATTGTTCACAGCTGGCATGAAAAGAAGAGAATATTTATTATATAACACATTCCTGTATAGTTGATAACCTATACAAAGTTTTGATACGCCTGCTGCCGTAGAATTACCATTTGCTCACTTTTCGTTGAAAAATTGGAATACACTAAAGCTCTTAAAGTGGTACTTTACTCACATACAATACATAATCTGCAGTGGTCTCAAGTAGGAACGAATGCCTTGTAAGGTGCACTCTGGGGAAACAAAGCTCCGGTGTGCCTAATTCAGAAACTAGAAGTTAGCCAGATCAAAGTTGAGCTGAACACAGAACGATTTGGTCTCTTATTTCCTGACATTTGGACATCTGTTTGGCTAACAGCAAAGAGACTCTACCACTGGTAGAGACTCTACCATTTGCTTTACATTCTTGATGTTTTATCTCTGCAAATAACACAAGAATAGAGGAGTTCTGCAATGTGGTGGAGTTGCTAATACTAACAGTTAGCTTCTACAAGCCGAGACATTCTCTGCTTTTTCCTGGATGGGAAAATGACAACAGCCTTCCCCATCGTGAGTCAAAATGGGTGAGTCCAAGAATGTGAAGTCACAGTATGATGTAGATCTGTCAGGATTTTTTAATCCTAGCATTTCACTGTCTATCAAAAGCTATTGCAGGAAACAGGTGTACAAGACTATTTTCATGTTCAGCCTGCATCAAAAACTCAAAGTGACCGATTATAATCAGATATAATCATTTTAATTGTTTTTTCATTGAAGTACCACTTTAACATAACTGCATATAAAAGTCTGGGTGACCAAAAAACTTGTATCACGCCTGAAGGCAAAGCTGTTCACGCTATCAGTACCGTTGATTGGTTTGAGAGCAGAAAAAATAAGTTTTAGTGACATTAACAGCAGAACCATCTGAGGACAAAATGAAAAAAAAAAAAGCCTTTAGCCATAAAAGACAGCGGTGGTGCAGAAATATGAGTGTGTGAGGGAGGGTGTGACAAATAGTGGGAGATCTTGTGATATTGCTTGAGCTTGCCCATAATGTTATTTTCAATACTGGACCAAAACAGATACAACTCCCAACAGCCCCCTCTAAAAAAGAGGACTTTAAATGAAATTCTCTCATGAATGATGGAATCCTTCAAGGAATGCTAATCTTTTAATTTTCTGGAGATTTGTATATTCTATCTGTCCTTTAAAGTTAATTTTTCATGTCATTTCTATTAAAGGCCAGTTTTCTAAATGGTTATGAACATCTCCACAATAGGGCACCAATAATAATAATATTCTATTCTGAGATATCACTTTCTAAAATTGAGCAAATTCATTAATAGTGGTAAAAATATTACAATTTCTTAATCTGTCTACTATTTTGAATAATTTGTAAAAAAAAATTATGTGTTTATTTCCTATATTTAGCTAGGACCTCCATGCAACTGCTGCATGAGCAAAACTGTGGAAACGTGTATCAAAGTATCAATAAATCCTTTATATAAACTGCATAAATTTGTACTTCCTTTTACTCTTCCATATTTTTTATTTTAGAGGAACACATCTCATGGTTTCTGTAGAGAATTAATCCATAAAACAGGCATACTCGAACATCATGTAAACAATAAACTGAGTGGGATTTTGTGATGCAGTGCTGGGCCTGCAAGCTGCAAACGTCTTACTGATGGTTGAGCTAGTTATTGCCAATCTCCTCAGTTTAACATCCTTGCCCATTAATATATTTTTTAACTGACTAATCTTATTTCGAGAGTTGCTTGCAACGTTTATACTGTAACCTGCAATCATTAGCTTCCATTTAGAGGTCGGGAGGCTCTACATGCAGCAGAAATACCACTTATTTTGCAACAATTTTGTGTGTCATAACTAATTTTGTTGCACCTGCATTTTGTTCAACTTTGCATTTGGATTTGCAAGCTGAAAATTGTTAGATAGCTGGTGGCTAATGTTAGCTGCAGCTACACAACATCCGATTTGTGAGCTTGCTTGCCAGCGATAAAGCTAGATGCGCGAAATGAGACGCTATTTAAGCTAGCTTAGTAGTTAGCATGCTAGTTAGGCCTTGTGGCTGCTTGATAGCAGACGAAGATTTGTTGAGTTGAATACAGCAAATAAAGATCATTTTGATTAAGCCTCTTCTTCCTTTGCTCTCACGCAACAACATGCACCGTGTAAGATTGGGTTATATTACCGTGTGAATGACGAATTCTCGTGTTGTTTGTGGGGATTCCGATAACGGCGTCGTTCCTCGCGAGAGAAAAGGCTGCGTCCGCTCCGCTCCTCTGTTCCTGGATCTGGCCAGGGTATATCATGGCTGCCTGTAGAGGGCGCTCAAAACCAACTGAGAGGCTGAAAACGAAGTCTAGTTATATTTTTAAAGGATCCGTTATGTGTTTTGAAAGGTTTTTTATGCAATGAAAATCAAATACTATAATTAGAATGTATCCCTGCACATGTAAACATAAGAAACTTTAGTATTTCTCCTGTTTTTAATCAGAAAATTGGGCTGCATTTCATATTTCGGGCAAGTGGCGCAATAGATATGTTGGATCAGAAGATTCCAGGTTCGACTCCTGGCTGGCTCGAATTGCTTTTTCAGTTTCAAACTCTTCAACTTAACTACTTTCAATAGTATTTATTTAATTTAACAAATATATTTTTTCATCAAACTGACAGACCGCTTGACATGTGACATCACACTGCCAAGTCCCTACAAAAATTGCTGGCCACCCCAGGGAAGACAAGTGTTTTTTTTTTTCAAAAGTCAAATTAATGTTCACACAAACCATAAATTTATCTTAATGAAGACGTACAGGTGAATCTCGAAAAATTAGAATATGGTGTAAAAGTCCATTTATGTTGGTTATTCAGCTCACACTAAGAGACCATCTAAAGGGTCAGGAATCCTTTGTAGGTGTTTTGGATTCATTAGCTGAGAGTGTGACACTTTGATTCTTATTGAACCTTTTCAAAACATTCTAATTTGTCTGAGATTTTGAATTTAGTTTTAATAAGCTGTAAGGCATAATCATCACAATAATAACAAAGACTTTAAATATGTGACTTTGCTGTTAATGAGTCCATTTCATATATTAGTTTCACCTTTTAAATTGAATTACTGGAATAAATTAACTTTTATATCATGATCTAATTTTTCAAGTTTCACCTGTACACGTAAAACCCGGCAACTCTGAAGTTGCAAGTGTGACATTCTGGACACATTAAGCTTGTAAACAGTCCTTTTAGCACATACTGGCTCAGGAAAATGATTTTAAAATATTCAAAGTTGCATAGTATCCCTGTAACACCCTCAGCTTCAAGATCTAACTTTTCGATCATCTGCACAAAGACGTCTTAGACGATCAAAAATTGTAATACCTACATCCCTAGGTTTAAATTTTTTTACTTAAATCGTGGAGATACAGGACTGGATAGCAGCTGCAGAAGCTCATTTTGCCTTCCAGCATTTTGCCCAGATGTAAACAACAACATTCACGAGGTCTATAGATCTTTACTGGCTGGTACAAGTGAAAATAGAATCCTTTAAAATGTTTGGACCAGCACCCAGTGGAATATTACAGGAGGGTAGAAATTAAATAAAATATCCATGACTCAATGCACACGATTAGACCTTCTGCTATACCAGCTGTCGTATACTAAATTATTAGCAAAATTTACTGTTGTTTTCATCATATCCGTACAAGATTCACCCATGAGTCTCCTGCCTCTCTGGGGCAGTTTGCTACTTTCACTTGATAACAGATGGATGGAAATGAACTTTGGAAGCCCTGATTTCAACGTGATGTGGGATCACAGTTGTGATCGAGGCAGTTAGTAACAATGCTAAACAGAGGACTAATTTCTACCAAATACTGACAAAATTAGGAATGATTTGTTATGGCCACTTCCCTTCGATGTTATATTTTGATTTTCAAGCTCAGATGTTGTTTAGCATTATTATTGCAGATACTGAAGGTGTGTGTTCATCTAATTAAGGGATAATAAACTTCCTACTCCTTTTCAAACAAATTATATTATTAATGTGTATAATTTTGCAATTATTTAAATTGCCACATTACATGCATTACCATTTCTTATTAAGGTGTTTTTGCTGGCGTCCTTGTTTTGCCTGCTTTGTTACAGCTCAATCTTTATTTGTTCGAAATAAATAAGGAGCCAAAATCTTATGACAAATGTATTTTTTCACCCTCAAGTGTGAGCTTCCAGCTTCCCCTTCTCCATCTCCTCCAGCCTCTCCTCCAATTCTTCCTTCTGTGTCTGTTCTGTCACCTGACAAAAATGTTAATGTCACGTGACCAGAAAATTTGGGATGCAACAATCACAGATTTTGATCATTAGATTGATATTTATAGTCTGAGAGGGGGAAAATCAAGTTTCACAAATAACATTAGGCCCATTTGAATTTTATTTGCCAATAGTGTATACAAAATCCAGAAGCGGGCTCTGTGTTTGGTACCTGAGCAGCTGGGCACGTACACGCATGCACACATAGCTTATACAGACTTGAATGTTATTGTAAAACGAAAGCTCTGGCGTGACGTGAGCAAATTACAGGTAGATGACCACAAACTCCGACTAGTGGCAACCATCAACATACATATATGGACAATGGGTTTCCATAGACTCCAATAATAAGTTTTTGTACTAAAATGGGAGGTGGCCACCACCGCCATTTTGACCGTGTCACAGGTTCCGTCAAGCCCAGACAATTTCCATAAAAGGGAAGAGAGGTGGAGCTGAGGGTGGGGCTGTAAGGCTGGGATCAACTGACGACACCCGGTCGAACTAGCTACAAGCTAACCTGAAGCTAACCCAAAGCTAATGCGGAGGTGGGAGCTAAGCTAACGGAGGTAGCAACCTAGCTACAACCGGCGTTAACTGTGCACAACACCAGAGCTTCTGAGTCAGAGATACGCCGGGCTGACCGCTGGGTAAAACCGGGTGGAACACAGAGGTCTCTGAGACCTCCACAAGCCGGCAGCCGCACAGCAGACAAGCGCTACTACGATCTGAGATGCGCAGAGCTGCCGCTGGGGAGAACCGGGTGGAAAGGTTTCCATCCCAGAGCTCCATAAGCCATCAGCCCGCGCAGCAGACAGGAGCCGCGATCAGACAGAGATGTGCCGAGCTGCCGGGAGACCCAGCAATCCTCATACTAAGCAAGCATTTAGCAACAGTGGAGAGGAAAACTCCCTTTTAACAGGAAGAAACCTCCAGAGGATCCTGGCTCAGTTTAAGCAGCCATCCACCACGACTCACTGGGGATCGAGAAGACAAAGCAGACACACCAACACCAGCCCACCCACACACAAACACACATCCACACACAACATATATACCAAGTAATGTTTTTATGGTTACATTATAATTTCTTAGTAAATATTCTATTTGGTGAGAGATAAACTTTATTGTATTTATCCTAGTGAATCTATTATTAAACGGGTAAACCAGTAGTAGCACATTCAATGTCAAAGAAAGTAAAAGGCTATTATCAGGAGAGGGAGAATGTTTAAATGTTTAGCAACAGTGTTCAAGCCGATGGCCCCCACCAGGATTAGGCCAGAAAAAATGTGACCAGTGAGATTTATATAATTTGATGGTCACATATTTTTCTAACTGTACTCAGACTGCAGTAGGGAGGTTGCAAAATTAATTAAGACAGTTGCAGTGAAGTATCATGTTGTTATTGGTAATGGTTAATGGGTGATAGTTAATGGGTGATGGTTAATGGTTAATGGTAAAACAGTATTGAACCCGCTCCACTTCAATTAAAGCACATGAGATCGATTATTGATGACCCATTTAATGAACGTCTGCATGGTTTACAAATTCAAGCTACAGCCAGCACTCAGACGTTCACTGATGGTTCGTAAAAACACTGCTGAGGTTTAAACAAAACAGAAACATGACATTGTCGGTCACTGCGATGTTGAACAAATGTTTAGAGAAGCCGAACAATCTCCCGTGTATCATTGTTTACATAGTTTACGCAGTTTACGTAAACACTCTTCCTCTTGCTTGTCCTCAAGACTTTCCTGGAAAGGATGGTACGTTGTCGCCCCCTGGAGTCACAGATTCTGATGGGTCACAGATTTTGGTGTAACACCGGCCCAGGAGTGAGCTCCCCTGACCCACAGGGAACTAAAAACACACAGCCATCACCTGCTGGAGACTGTGGCGTGCAGCTGCGGGCTGGATCTGACCCAGGTTTCAGCCCACCTGCCCGGCAGGGAATTTAAAACACACAGCCATCACCTGCCGGAACCTGTTGCACACTGGATCCGGCCCGGCCAGTTTTCAGCTCCTCTGCCCCACCATCACCTGCTGCAGTCTGTGGCGCGCAGCTGCGGGCCATGAGCTCCCCTGTCCCGCTGGGAGGGTTTCAAACAATGCCATCCTCTGCTGGAGACCGTGGCGCGCTGCTGCACCCACGTTGTTTATTGTTATTGTTACCGGTACTTGTCTTGCAATGTGAAACGCTTGGTCACAGATTTTGTAAGAAAAATAATAAAATTTCCCCCCAAAATGCGACTTATAGTCCAGTGGGACTTATATATGTTTTTTTCTTCTTCATTATACATTTTATGGCTGGTGCGACTTATACTCCGGCGACTTACTCCGGTGACTTATAGTACGGAAAATACGGTACGTTAAAAATATTGAAAACTTGCTCAAAGCAAAATATACTTTCATTAAGAAAATAACTTAGGGCTGCACAGTGACGCAGTGGTTGGAGCTGTTGCCTTGCAGCAAGAAGGACCTGGGTTCGCTTCCCGCCCTGGGCTCTTTCTGCATAGTTTGCATGTTCTCCCTGTGCATGTGTGGGATCTCTCCGGGTGCTCTGGCTTCCTCCCACAGTCCAAAACATGGCTGTTAGGTTAATTGGTCCGCCTAAATTGTCCTTAGGTGTGAGTGTGTGTGTGCATAATTGTTTGTCCTGTGTGTCTCTGTGTTGCACTGCGATGGACTGGCTCTCTGTCCAGGGTGTACCCCGCCTAATTGCCCATTGACCACTGGAGATAGGCACCAGCACCCCCCCCCCCCCACCCCCCCGCGCAACCCTACATGGACAAGCGGGTTCAGAAGATGGATGAATGGATGGAAATAACTTATAAACTTACTGGTTTAATACTTTTTTATTCACAGAAAGATAGTTTTTGTGAAAAAGCGCCGCAAACCTCCACACAAACTCCGTGTGAGCTTCAGATCGCGGGTGTTCCACAGGGACTCTGGTTGTAGCTAGGTAGCTACCTCCATTAGCTTAGCTCCCACCTCCGCGTTAGCTTTGCGTTAGCTTCAGGTTAGCTTGTAGCTAGTTCGACCGGGTGTCGACATTTGATCCCAGCCTTACAGCCCCACCCTTAGCTCCACCTCTCTTCCCTTTTGTGGAATTGTCTGGGTTTGACGGAACCATATTTACATGTCGATGGACGGAACCTGTGACACGGTCAAAATGGCGGTGGTGGCCACCTCTCATTTTTCTTCAAAAGCGTGTTATTGGAGCCTGTGGAAACCCATTGTCCATATATGTATATGTCGATGGGTACTCCACAAGTAATCCTGGAGTATGAAGAAGATTTGTCATGTACATTTACAAAATGAAATCTATCAAACAGGTATGATTTAAACCAGCCTAGCGCTGTTCCTTTGATCCCTACAACATGTTCAAGCCTTTCGAACATTGTGATCAACTGTGTCAAAGGCAGCACTGAGATCTAGAACAGACACAAGATTCTTATTTGAGGCCATGAAAATATCCTTTGTAACTTTCAGTAATGCAGTTTCAGTGCTGTGATACTCTCTAAAACCAGACTGAAATTCCTCAAACAGATCATTAGTGTTTATGCTCACATACTTGGTTGGCCACTATTTTCTCAAGGACTTTGGATAAAAATGAAATGTTAGATATTGGGTCATCGAGATCCAGAGAAGGCAAAGGTAAAGGTAAAGGTTTGATTACAGCAACTTTAAAATCCTGTGGTGCATATCCATTTACTACGGATAGATTGATTATATCTAGAATGGGGGCAGTAACCAAAGGAAATGCATCTTTAAATAATTTGGTTGGGATTGGATCTAAAATGCAAGTTGAAGGTTTAGATGAAGCTAATATTTTTGATAACTCTGAAAGCTCAACTGGATCAAAATGGTTCAAACACAGGTGAAGTTCTATAGTTACCTCTGATGCTGCCTCACTTACTGAGGAAGAAGAAATCACATTAGGGAGGATGGTAATGATTTTGTTTCTAATAGAATTAATTTTACTCGTGAAAATTCCCATAAAGTCGTTGCTGCTGAAGGCTAAGGGAATAGATGGTTCAGAGCTATGATCCGGTGTAAATTTGGCAACTGTACTGAAAAGAAAATTTGGATTATTCTTCTTCTCTTCAATTAGCAATGAAAAATACTTGTCGAAGCTTATTTTTTATAAAGCACGAGACTATTTTTCCCACGACAAGTAGGACTCCTCCTGGTGTGTAGAGCGCCATGTTGTCTCCAATTTCCTAGAGTTTTGTTTTCGTAAATGAGAATCAAACCAGGGAGCCAATTTCCTTGTTTTACAGTTTTGCGATCTGGATTAGGAAAACTAAGAATAAGATGTTCAAAAGAACTGTAACTATTAATTGGTAAGGGATTTATCATTAGGTCTGATAAATAGGTCATATACATATTTATGACTATTTTATTCTGCATAACTTTGTTTTGGGACGGTGAAAACCTCGGAGGACCAAGAAGCCCTTTGAAAAAGTGAGGCATGTCCCCCATGTCCCCAGACTAAAATTACGTCACAGAGTGGGGTAATTTAATCACGTTATGGCGCTTAGTTGGTTGGTGGTTGGTAACCTCACCTGTTACTGGTGGGTGGGACAGCACATGAGTCATGTGACACCCTGCAGGTAATAAGCACAGAAAGAGGTTGGCCCATCAAGCAACGACAGAGCTTGCTTTAAAAGCTCCACAGGAGGCAGCGCACTGAGCGCAGCGACTTGTAGTTCTCTCTGTTTCTGCAGAGTTAATCGGGGTCGCAATCCAGCCCAAGACGATCATGAAGTTCCGTGAAAAGCAAGCTTGCTGTCTTTTGTTTGTGTCATTCCTCGGTGTTATTGCAGATCTGCGCGGTGAGTGTGTCAGAGAAAACTCTTTTGCACAACATCAGATCGGGAAAAAGTTACGCAATTAGCTAGATCAGTCAAAAACTAATTAAATACGCCTCAAGGAACAAATGCTGCTACTAACTGTATGTTGTATTATTTAATTTCATCGCGTTATCGTGGTTACCTTTTACCTCCACGCTCCCCAAGGCTAAAGGTGACAGATAACGGAATTTGTGCGAGTCATTTTTACTCAGCTTTTTCTGCAGCTGGGATTGGGAAACATACAGGAAATCAATTTTTTATGTCTAAATGGTTTTAGGTGCATTACTTTTGTGGAGCTATTATTGAAAACATGCAACATGCATAAAACACCTTTTTACAACTTTAACTTCTGCTTTAAGTTCAAGTAGGCGTGTCATTTCAAAACAGAATATAACTGGTTTAGTGGGTTTGTTTTCTGCTACAAAAGCTTACTTATAGTCTTTTCAACTTTTGCCTAGATACTTGGCAAAAGTTGTTACTTGTTTTTAATAATCTGATTTCTTCATTGACAACTCAATATTCACACAGTTGTTGCAGTTAGTTTTATTCTTATTGGATTAATTGTTTAAAATTTGAATCATTAATCTGTTAAGTGTTCTAACACATAAGAAAAATCTGTAGCACTTGAAGTCCACACAAAGCTCGGGAGCCTGAGAGGTGAGATTGTAAGTGTGAAAGGAAAAGAAACCGGGGTCCACGCCTTCCTCGGCGTCCCCTTTGCCAAACCCCCACTTGGACCCTCCCTCAGACTGACTGCACCTCAACCTGTTGAGAAATGGGAAGGAGTGAGAGACGCCACCAAGCAGCCCAACATGTAGGACCTCCTGTTTCACCAAATCATTAAGATAAGCTTTTGTTAAGTGCTTGTTGACAAAAAAAGTCTCCTTTGCAGGTGCATTCAGGACGTGCAGGCTGTTGAGTATCTGCTTGAAAAACTTGGAGGCTTGTCAATGGACATCCCGGCTGCTTCAGAGGACTGTCTCTACCTCAACATTTACACTCCTGCAAACAGAGCCCCTGATGCCAAGCTCCCAGTAATTCAGACTTTAAAATTCAGACTTTAAAATTCAGGTTTGGAAAGGTCCAGAGCTCCTGCATCAGTTTTTCACCAGATGATACAATGTGCTGACTGAGGTGTTACACAAATGTATGTGACACATAAAGACAAAGTGCATTAATCAAATTTATCTAATCCCATCTGTGGAGCCTTTTTTTTTTTTTTTTTTTTTTTGTAGATGCATTGAAACATTTAGTAGCTACTCTGCATCCATCATTGCAACTTCTCCATCACATATTGACTTTATAAACATAGAGTCATTTGGTTGTTTTGTGCTTAAAGTCTGGATCAGGTTTATTTGTGGTGAATTTGTTTGGGGGGGAAAGTTTGAGGCCTCTCATTCATTTTCCAGGTAATTGTGTGGATCCATGGTGGAGGCTTCACTTTAGGGTCTGCATCTATGTTTGACGGTTCTGCCATGGCTGCCTACCAGGATGTGGTTGTAGTTCTGATCCAGTATCGGCTGGGGCTCCTGGGATTTTTCAGGTAAATGCATTATTAAGCATTTACAACAAGGCGTAATTAAACTCTCATCATTACATCAGATCTGCCACATGTCAAGGATTCATAAATCTGACCCATGCAGCACTGGAGACGAACAAGTTTCAGGGAACTTTGGTCTTCTGGACCAGATCCAAGCTCTGAGGTGGGTCAAGGAGCACATTCACAACTTTGGAGGAGATCCAAATTTAGTCACCATTTCTGGGGAGTCTGCTGGTGGAATGAGCGTGTCCCTGCTGGTAAGAACTTATCTGGAGATAAAGTAATGTTTAAAAGATTTTCAATAATGCCATTGTGACTATCCTGTTATGTAAATCTGCAGCTTCTCTCTCCACTGTCTGATGGTTTGTACCACCGAGCCATTGCTGAGAGTGGCACCGCTGCAATGGATGTCCTTCTCACAAGTGACCCTGTACCAACCATGCAGGTTAGTCATCAGATATATTTTAAGTAATTCTTCTGCGGCATGTTTTATTTATTCTAAATCACCGAGGTTGCATCTTCTATTAGATGGTTGCAAAAGCATCTGGCTGCAGCGTCGAGAGCACAGAGATGATCGGCGACTGCGTGAGAAACCTTAATATTGACACCATTCTAGAATTGGTGAAGGTGAGATTCTAGATTTAAAAATGTATGATAACAGTTGTCTAGTCCTTGATCTTTTGTTTCTTAAACGTTGTTGCCGTTTTTTCACACTAACTCACTTTTTATTTATTTATTTTTATCAAGGATCAACGTTTACGGTTTCCTATAAACACTGACGGACACTTCCTGAGAAAACCAGTTCACGAGCTGCTTCATAAACATGAAGTCCTCACTGTACCATTTATGACCGGTGTAAATAACCATGAAGGGGGGTTCATCCTCGCTGAGGTAAGTTAGAAATAAATATAAATTCTGATTAAATTTGTTCACCGTTACCTGTTCCTTCTTTTCTTTTTAGTTCTTTGCGCCTCCGAACTGGACAGACGGAATGGATCGGGAGCATATTGTCAACGCGTTGTCCATGTTCTACCCAAATGTGAGACTTGGATGTGTCAGAGTTAATTTTCCTCTGTGCAAAAACTCAACTTTTACTAACCTTTTCATTATTTTTAGCCCAAAGATGCAATCATCAAAGATCTGATCGTAAATGAATATGCTGGAAGTGGCAAAGACCGTGTGAGAAACAGAGATGCCTACACTGAGATGCTCGGAGATTTCTTTTTTACTGTTCCAGCCATTAAAACGGCAACCGCTCACAGAGGTAAATTGTGAACCAAATTGTGCAACATTTGAATTTTTACAAAATAACACTTGTTTTTGTACCGCTAGACGCAGGCGCAGCTGTATATCTGTATGAGTACCAGCATCCTCCTGCATTCCTGCAGAAAAACAGGCCCAGCTTTGTTAAGAGCGACCATGGAGATGAGATTATTACTGTGTTTGGACTTTGCTTCACAACTAATCATGTTAAATTTACTGGTAGGTGAAGTAAACTACACCCAGATGTCCATTTTTTCCCTGGAATATATAACTTTTATGTGGTTTATTGTTAATTCAGAGGCGTGTCCTGAAGAGGAGGAGGAGCTGAGCAGGATCATGATGAAATACTGGGGGAACTTTGCTCGTACGGGGTAGGAATCCCTGCTAATGAAATTGTTTTTACACCAATATTTGAAGGTTAGAACATCTGTGTGTTTAGGTCCCCCAATGGAGACGGCCTCGTCCACTGGCCAAAGTACGGAGCAAAGGAGGAGTACCTGGCTATTGATTTAAAGCAGCAGGTATTGGGTCAACACCTGAAGAAGGACCGGTTCGTCTTTGTAACTCAGACTCTGCCGGAGAAGATCAAACAGCACAAAGAGAGTACGGATCACCTAGAGCTGTAACGCATCATCAGTCTATGGATAACTGCTGATGATAAATTTAATCTACATTTTAGTTCAATTCTTTATGACCTGGCTTATAAAATAACACAAGCTTCTGCTCAGAAGTTTCTGTTCATTTTGAGCAAAATTATCACAAACCCAGAAACTGATTTAACCGTCTGACTCAAACCCTAACAGAACTAGAAGTCCACACGAAGCTCGGGAGCCTCAGAGGTGAGTACGTGCGCGTCAAAGGAAAGGAGACCGGGGTCCACGCCTTCCTCGGCGTCCCCTTCGCCAAACCCCCACTTGGACCCTCCCTGAGACTGACTCCGCCTCAACCTGTGGATAAATGGGAAGGAGTGAGAGACGCCACCAAGCAGCCCAACATGTAGGACCTCCTCTTTTATCACATGATTATTAAAGAAATTGTTTATAAATGCTGATATCAATGACTTATTTTGCAGGTGCATTCAGAACCTGGATATCATTAAGCCTTTGCTTGACAAAATTGTTGGCACGGCGATCGATGTCCCAGACATTTCAGAGGACTGTCTCTACCTCAACATTTACTCTCCTGCTAACAGAGCCCCTGATGCCAAGCTTCCAGTAAGAACATTAGATCACCTTTGGATTAAATTTGATTGTTTTTCTGTTATTAAGATGATGGTGCATTTATGAGAAGCAGGAAAACAGAAATTCCAGCGTCTATTTGCAGGAACAGGGAGTGTGATAGATCAGACCTCTCAGTCAATATTAGCCCATTTCTTTTTCATGATAATTAAGTATAGAACTTCATCCAACTATAGTGGAATAAGAGTTTTGGAAAAGACATTTTGAGGCTTGTTGAATTCAGCTGATAAAAACGTTTAAAGAACACGTAGAGACTTTTCATTATTTTCCAGGTCATGGTGTGGATCCACGGTGGAGGATTCACACTAGGATCTGCATCGATGTATGATGGTTCTGCCATGGCTGCCTACCAGGATGTGGTTGTGGTCATGATCCAGTATCGACTGGGATTCCTGGGCTTCTTCAGGTAAATGCATTAATAAGCATTCACAACAATTAACCTTTAATTAAATCAGATCTGTACAAAGTATTCGTTACTCTGACCTATGCAGCACTGGTGACAAACAAGTTTCAGGGAACTTTGGCCTTTTGGACCAGATCCAAGCTCTGAGGTGGGTCAAGGAGCACATCCACAACTTTGGAGGAGATCCAGATTTAGTCACCATATTTGGGGAGTCTGCTGGTGGAATCAGTGTTTCTCTTTTGGTAAGACCCAAACTTTAAAAAGGGAAACACAATGTGGAAAAATGTATTTAGTCGGCCTCTAGTTGTGCTAGTTCTCCCAGGTGAAAAGATGAGAGAGGCCTGTAATTTTCACTTGAGTTATACCTCAACTACGTGAGGCAAAATGTAAAATAAAAAAAATCTGAAAATCACACTGTCTGATTTTTAAAGAATTAATTTGCAAATTATGATGGAAAATAAACATTTGGTCCATAGCAAATTTCCATTTCAATACATTTTATAAACCATTTGTTGGCAATGACAGAGGTCCAACGTTTTCTTTAACTCTTCACGAGGTTTCACACGCTGTTGCTGGTATTTTGGCCCATTCCTCCATGCAGATCTCCTCTAGAGCAGCGTTTCTTAACCCTGGTCCTCGGGGACCACTGTCCTGCATTTTTTCCATGTTGCCCTTTCACATACCAGCATGTCTCTGCTGCCACACACCTGACTTAAATGAATGAGTGATAAACTGGTATCTGCAGCACTTGATGTCCTCCTGAGGAGCCAATGTAAATCAGGTGTGTTGAAGCACAGTAAGACAGTGGTCCCTGAGGACCAAGGTTGGGAAACACTGCTCTAGAGCAGTGATGACTTGGGGCTGTTGCTGGGAAACATGGACTTTCAACTCCCTCTAAAGATTTTCTGTTGGGTTGATATCTGGAGACTGGCTAGGCCCCTCCAGGACCCTGAAATTCTTCTTATGAAGCCACTCCTTCATTACCTGGATGGTGTGTTTGGCATCATTGTCATGTTGAAAGACCCAGCCATGTTTCATCTTCAGTGCCCTCGCTGATAGAAGATTTTCACTCAAAATCCAACGATACATGTACACGTTCATTCTTTCCTTTATATGGATCAGTCGTCCGGGTCCCTTTGCAGAAAAACGGCCCCAAATCATGAAGTTTCCACCCCATCCTTTACAATGGTTATGGAGATCTTGTGTGGAGCTCCTGATCGAGGGAGATTATTAGTGATCTTGTACGTCTTCCACTTTCTAATAAATGCTCCCACAGTTAATTTCTTTACACCAAGCTGCTTTCCTATTGCAGATTCAGTCTTTCCAGCCTGGTGCAGGTCCATTATTTTGTTTCTGGTGTCCTTTGACGGTTCTTTGGTCTCGGCCATAGCAGAGTTTAGAGTGTGACTGTTTTACATTGTGGACAGGTGTCTTTTAACACATTCCAATGGATGCCATTAATACAGGTAATGCGTGGAGGACAGAAGAGCCTCTTACAGAAGAAGTTTTAAGGTCTGTGACCAAATACTTATTTTCCACCATAATTTGCAAATAAATTCTTTAAAAATTAGACGATGTGAGCTTCTGAATTCTTTTTCTCATTTTGTCTCACAGTTGAGGCATACCTATGATTAAAATTACAGGATTTTTCTCATCTTTCTAAGTGGGAGAACTAGAAGACTGGCTGACTAAATCATTTTTGCCTCACTGTATGTTCTTGCAAAGAAACCCAAATTTGTCTTTTATGTATTTGTTTTTTAATCTGCAGCTTCTGTCACCTTTATCGGACGGCCTGCTGCACCGTGCCATTGCTCAGAGTGGTACAGCTCCTGTGGATGGAGTCCTCATGAAGGATCCCGTTCCAGTAATGAGGGTTAGTTAGAAGACGTTTGGGTGTGAAAGGATTATTCGGTGCATAATGTTGTTTATTCTGAATGAGTGAGTGAGGCGTCTTTCACCAGGAAACTGCAATCACATCTGGCTGCAGCCTCGAGAGCACAAAAACCATCAGTGACTGCATGAGAAACCTTGATATAGATATCATACGAGGATTTGGGAAGGTGAACTGAAAGATTTTTGATTTTTACTCGTAATGCTGTTTGTTTTTTATGTTTAACATGTAATTTTTCCCCTTTAAGGATCTAGTTTTGAGTTTTCCCATAACTGTTGACGGACACTTTCTGACTAAACCTGTGTCTGAGCTTTTCCGTCAACATGAACTCCTCGCTGTACCATTCATGACCGGCGTAAATAATCATGAAGGGGGATTCATACTTCCTCAAGTAAGTTATGAGGATTTACTGACATTTACATGCAATAAGGAAGTACGATTCCCCACTAAAGCTGGATTTCTATTATTTTTCTTGTCCAAATTTGATCCCCACCCCCCACCCCCACCCCCCCTAGTTCTTTGTACCTGCAAACTGGACCGAGGGAATGGATCGGGAGCAGATTGTGAACATGATGTCCTTATTCTACCCAAACGTGAGAAACTCCCTACATCATGTTTTATTTTGCACCCATCAGTCATTATTGATTAACTTTTTGTTCTCTTTAGCCCGAAGATGCAAGGATCAAAGATCTGATTGTAAATGAATATGCTGGAAATGGCAAAGACCGTTTGAGAAACAGAGATGCCTACACTGAGATGCTCGGAGATTTCTTTTTTACTATACCGGCCATTAAAACAGTGAACACTCACAGAGGTAAATTATGTACAAAACTGTCCAAAATTAGTTTTTTCCCCCACAAAATAACACTTGTTTTTACACCGTTAGACGTAGGTGCTGCTGTATACCTGTACGAGTACCAGCATCCTCCTACGTTCCAGCAGAAACACAGGCCCAGCTTCGTTAAGTGTGACCATACAGACGAGATCTTTACCGTGCACGGGATGTGTTTCCTAACTTCTGATGTAAAATTACCTGGTAGGTGCCCTAAACCTCCGACCTATAAAAATACTGCTTGCGCTTGTGTTAAAGCCTCTGGTTTATTGTTAATTCAGAGGCGTGTCCTGAAGAGGAGGAGGAGCTGAGCAGGATCATGATGAAATACTGGGGGAACTTTGCTCGTACGGGGTAGGAATCCCTGCTAATAGATAAGAGAATTGTTTTTACACCGATATTTGAAAGTTAGAGCGCCTGTGTGTTTAGGTCCCCCAATGGAGACGGCCTTGTCCACTGGCCAGAGTATGGAGCGAAGGAGGAGTACCTGGCTATCGATTTAAAGCAGCAGGTATCGGGTCAACACCTGAAGAAGGACCGGTTCGTCTTTGTAACTCAGACTCTGCCGGAGAAGATCAAACAGCACAAAGAGAGTACGGATCATCTAGAGCTGTAACGCATGTGAACACATCATCAGTTTATAGCCATTACTTTAGTTACTCAGCTTTTATTTACAGTTTTTTTTCATGATCTGGCTTCTTATAATATTACAGAAACATATTGGAATCACTTGAAACAATTTAAAAAGCCATATTTTCTGAATTAAGGAGACAATTAAAATAAATAAATACCTCTGCAGTGTTATGATGATCCTGTGACTGCGAGGTAGGGTTATTCTTTCTTTTAACTGTCGATAGGATTATTATTATTAGTCGACTTCGCATTTATATCTGAGGAATTTGTGTCCCTCGAGGTGTCTTCTGAACATGACCATGTAAATTTTTTTTGCCCAGTTCCAAGTCTTCTTTTCACCTGATGGATTTTTTTTTCTACTTTTTTAATATTGTGAAACAACAGAAGAGCAAATTAAATCAGAATCACAAGTAGTGCGCTCAACACTACAGTTTTCTGCTCCTCTGCCCTACTGGTTGAAATTGGAATTGCAACTGTCGTAAACAACCCTCTGCAGCCGGCCGTAGCTAGCGCTAACAACGAGCAAACACTAACATGAGCCAAATAATATTAAAATTGTCGTAAGCCAAGCCACCGGGCTAACTGGTGTTAAATCTCAAGGCCTTGGCTCACGGTACAATATGGTGGTCTTGACCTCTGACCCCTCCTGCCGAACACCCTTACTCTGGAGATATTTTACCTTGTGCAACCTAGGCTTTTATTACTGGTAAAATCACCTTTATTTTGCTGTAGGAAGACTCTTGCTGTATCAGAACAAACTGCACGAGCTCATCAAGCTCAGAACAGACGCTCGACAGCTTCCCCTCTGATCAGGTAAACGCTGATGTAACAACCTGGGATGCAATGAAGCAACCAGCAAACTTACCTTTTGCTGTGCCAGAGAAGGAAAGAAGGCCCCCACGATTTACTTTTAATTCCTTCCCGAAGGAGGGAAAAGTTTTTTCCACACGAAAGAAAAAAAGGTAATCCAACACAGGGAAGAACAGCTCAGGCTAAATAGGAAAAGTTCTTATCAAAAAACCGAGATTCCACCTCTCCCACCTTCATGCATCATAATTCTTCTTTCTCCTTCTTCCGGGCTGTTTTTTTTTTTTTTTAATTATAGTCTTGAATCAAAGGTCAACTTCAAAAAACTTTTTGAGCACATTTTATTTTTGCAGCACAAAACTCGCCCTCCACCTTTGCAGGCCCATTCTTGATCTTTATGGTTTAACGCTTCTTTGCCGAGGAATCCCAGGGCCCCCCTCTTCTTTCCTTCCTGTCCTCTTCAAACATTCTTTTTAGATTCCATGCTCTGGTTTCTGAGAAGTCAGGTGTGCAGTCTTGGTTCCCATAAACCCAGTCAGCTTGCTCTCTTCCACAGAACTGGGTGCAAGGGGGGCAGTAGGGCTGGAGGTCAGAGGTTTCCACACAGAGAGGAGCTTGACTCAGGCTCGAATCCATGTTATCAGCAAGTCTGCCCCGAGTCTCCTCTCAACAAAAATAAACTGCAAAGGTCCACGCTAGAGGTCAACCGATATATCGTTTTTCTATTGCCAATATCAATTTGTATTGCCGATTTTTATAGGCCAATTTTCATGGCCAAAATCTAGACATTTTCCACCTTATTTTAATGCTAAAGTGTCACTAAACTTCAGTTAGCCCACAAAGTTTCTGAAGCTGAATCCGTTTTTGAACTCTGAATTTAACTGTTAAATCGGAGCTTTGTTCACTGCTCAGTGTTAGACACCTAAACAAAGTTAGGGTATTTATTATGCAGATGTTATTGGTCAATGTAAAATTATTAGGTTCTGCAACAGCGCTGGGATGCCCAAGGATGCACCCAACTTTAAATCGGCTTTGTCAAGGACAAATATCGGCAGATGCATAAAAACCGTAAATGTTGACCTGACATATCGGTCTACCCCTAGTCCGCAATGTTGGATAAAAAATTATTACTTAAAAGTCCAGTAGCAACAAAGCCAGGTCACCATCAGTCCTTGATTTTGTAGCCTTTAGCTCCCTCAAACTAGTGTAGGCCAAGCCGATGTTCACGCCGGCTTTAGCTCTTTGCTTTGCCTCGAAAGACTTACTCTTGTACTTTTACCTCCAGGCTCCTCCTCCATGATGCCAACAAAAAAGTAAACTTCTTGTTCTTTTGCCTTTTATTGATGAACGGCGAACTGAAAATGCTAACTGCTAGCACAACAGCTTGCAGCCATAAAGCATGTAAAGAGCGCCCCCATAGGAAACCTACCCACTCCACAAAACTGTCAAGTGCAATATCTGGTCAGCAGAGGGCTGCAGGGGGGTGTGAAGTATGAAACTGATCAAGTTTTTAACTCAACAATCCCTGAGATCAATGTTAAAGCTCTAGCTTAAAGTTAAAAAAAAAATATATATATATAATTATATATATATATGTATGTGTGTGTGTTACTTAAAGGTAGAAATCAAAAAGTCCCCCCCCCCAACTTTCTCAAGGGTCTTAATGTTTTTTGTGTTTGTGTGTATGTCTGCATTTCATTGCATTACAATCATTTAAATTGTGGCGCTGATAAGGTGATGAATAATAAACTGTGACAAAACAAATATTTTCCATTTTTATTTTTATTACTGAGAACAGTGCTTAAGCTGAAAAGCTCCCTGAATTCTGATGAGCAGTTCAAAAGTTTAACTTAAGTCTCCATAAAATCGGTCGTTTAGCATCAATAACACAAAGCAACACATAAAAAAGGCAAATAATTCAAATAGCTGGATTCACGTCGGACATAAACACAAATAATTATGAAATGAAGCTAATAAAATGTTGACAAATCAAGAGTGCGTTAGCAGACAATCCTTTTGCAAATTCTAGGAAAACTGGAGTCCGATACAAAAGTGCTGGCGGCCGTTTTTCCAAATGATTCGATAAACCGCCCAGAAAAGTGCACTTGGAGTAGGAAAGCTACTGGGCATCACTGCCAGGCCAGTATGAGACGTTCTTTATGATGCACTTTGAGCTGTTGGTTTAAATAATGATCAGCCTGGAGTTGGAAAAACCCCGGGGCAGCTGGAGGTAAGAGCTTAGCGGGAATAAAGCCAGGCAAACACTGTGTCAGCCATTAAAACAAACAACACCGCCACTACAGTTTAGAAGAGAACACGGACAGAAGCAGTTAAAAACTATATTCTGGTACTTTGATTACTTACAACTTTTGAGCAGATTATTTATTCATTACAGCACATCGTTCCATCTTAGATAATAGGCTAATACGTTGGGTGTGGTGATATTAAATGTGATGCGTATCACTGGACGCGGTAGATCTTTAGCTGAAAGGGCAAAAGCGTACTGGTCAGGCTTAAAACTTAGTGGCACAACTGCAGTGTTTGATAAGATGAAAGTTCAAAGGTTACATAAAAATCCAAAATTTCACTTTTATTTAAATAAATACATTTAATGTAGCTGGATTTTTTTTTTACACATGTATTTTGTAGTTTTGCAGCCAAGTGAAGCACCTGAGATGTCCTTTTGAAAATGCTGATGTCTACAGCCAAAAATATAATCATAATAAATAAGAGCAAGGCATGCTGCTTTATTAAAACGTGTCCAGGTAGTGGTTATGAGTGCAATATGGTTAAACCTAAATACACGCAGCATGCGCTTGAACATGTTGGGCACTGAAACTGGTGTAATACTTTTAGCTAGCAGAATACATTGGATGCCTTTTTCCCTTTTCAAGCACTGCTGAATATAAATGTATTTTTTTTTTATCACAGGCACATAACAGTTTGATTCTTTTAAGATATAATATTTATCCAGTGTAATTGCTTCCTGCGAGGGATTTAATCAAATTTATATGACCCGTTGTTATCATGCTGCACCAGAGACCAGACCAGGTGGAGGTAATAAATGAGGACTTGGGAGAACCTTTAGCGCTAGGTTGGTGTGACACAGGTAGGTGAGGTTGCACAGTAAAACCCAACTATGGAGAGAACCTAGAGAGTTCCATTCATCAGAGATCAGCAGAGGTGATTTGTGTGTGATGGTTGCTTCACGTTGAAAACACAGGGTTGGCAGGGGCTTAAAGCATCAAGATGTCCAGGACTGCATGTTTCGCAGCATGGCCTCAAACCGCTCCATGCTCGGGGCATGAGCGTGGTCTAGGTGGTCCGTCAGCCGACTGTACAGGCTGAAAGACTTCAGCTCCAGCCAGATGAAACCAAAACGGTCCTCATCGAACAGCACAAAGAGCCCCGGGGTGCGCTCTGGACTCGTGAAGCCGTGCCCGGCAATCAGGCCCGTTCCGTAGAAGCTGAAACAGACATCATAAATACAACTAATCAGTACATTCATAGCATAACGTAAAAATGGAGGCATTGGCCTGTTACAGCTGCAGGTGCAGAATTTGAGGAAGTGCTCAGCCCGGGTAGCCTGGCCTGCCAGACTTGTCCTCGGTTTAATTCTGCACAGAGAACTAGTCTGGTAACTCACAGGCAGAAAGGCACTTGAGGGGCGGGACTAGGCAGCTCAAAAGTAACCAATCAGAAAAAAGACGGAAATCCCGACTGTACCGCACGACGCTGTAGTTTTCTAGTTGTAGTAAAAAAATAGCGTCTGGCAACGGCGCAAACATCTTTTTTTTAGAAGAAGAAATGCTTTTAGCGCTTCTACTTGTGGTTTTAAAGACATTCTAGTCATTTAGAACAGAGGAAAGAGCCGCAGCAAACTCCGCTGCTGTCTTCGTTGTTTATGAGAAACTGAGCGTCGCTGTGTGTGACGTCCGTGACGCTGTCGTTTTTTTAACTGTGGTAAAAACGGAGTCTGGCGTCAGCTCAAACATCTTTCTTTAGAAGAAAGGCTTTTAGCGCTTCTACTTGTGTCCAAGTCATTTAGAACAGAGGAAAGAGCCGCAGCAAACTCCGCTGCTGTCTTCGTTGTTTATGAGAAACTCGGCGTTGTGGTGTGTGACGTACGCTACTCATTGGCTCGGTCAAAGTTCTCACAGGGTGGGGTTATTTGAATGGGAGAGTTCCCAGATCCTTTCTCTGTGCAGAATTAAACAGAGGAGGAGTCTGGCAGGCCAGGCTACAGCCCGGGTGCTCACCATTTCCTGCAGGAGCGAGGGTAGACCTCATTGCGTGCCATGACCCCCAGAGGCAGGACGAAGGGCAGGGGGTCATCAGAGTGGTTACTTTCCTCTGGTCCAGACTGGCAGCTGTCAGAAGCTGCACCGCGGTCACCCTCTTCTGCTTCTGCTCCGCTGGAACCACCGCAGGCTCCCTCCGCTGCACATCTGCCCGTAGCAGAGGCTCCGCTGGCCTGCTGTTCCGCCTCTCCCTGTACCTCATCATGTATTCTCATTACAATCTGTGACAGCTCCTCAATTTTGCGCTGTTGCTCCAGTTCCGGGAGGATCACTGGCCGACTCAGGTCAACGTCTAAAGTGAGCTGTCCTGCAGGAACGTTGGGGTCTCCCTGGAAGAAGTGTCAGAATCAAATTCAGGGTTCGTGGACGTTTGTTGTGCTTATTACAGACTTGAGGGGAATCATTTGGATCACTCTGATGGTGACTATTCACACACTCACAGTGAGTTTGGTGGCTCTCGCAGACGTCCCGTGGAAGCTAAGCATGACAATCTCCAGGCCGTGACTGCCGTAGGTGCCTTTGAACAAGCCCGGCTTCAGCAGATCAGAGGGCATCGTGGGAGGCAGGTAGATCCGCCGGTATGTCAAGCAGTTACTGTGGCAGGACATCATGAGAAACACCAGGCTCACAGCGTTGAGAAATTCAGGAATTTGACATTCACTTCAGAAAGGAAACAGAAAGCAGACCTACTCATATTGACTGGTGTAAATGAACTTCATCAGGATGAGCTCCTGCATGTGCTCATGGAAGATTTCTTCCAGCGTTCGACCCCATTCGTCTTCTAACCAAGTCCTAAATTCCTGCTCAGACATAATAAAATGCTTTAAAAATCAACAATGAGCTTCTAGCAGATTTTTAGGAGAACTTAGCAGAAAACAGTCGGGACTCACCTCCTGTCTGCCTCCTGGCATCCGGTGATAATCAGTCTGGTTACATTTAGTCGAAAACTCGTCCTTCTTTACCGTCTAAAATAACAGAATGTGATAAATATCACTAGTACATGAACAGGTTTTCATTAACCAACATCAAAAATTAAAGAGTGCATGTTTGTAGGGAACATCTTCTCTTCACGGGTGCAAATATGAGCAGTGCTCTTTTAGTTTAGATTTGTTGGCCTCATCTAGTGAGCATAAATGGACTGTTTGAGGTCAAAGGTCAGATTATCCTTCAAAATCTTCAGCTAGAGAGCAGCATTCATGTTCTCTCAGTTTCAAGTGGTTGAAAGCAACCCTAGCCCATCACACTACCACCACCATGCATCACACTACCACCACCATGCTTGACTGTTGCTATGACGTTTCTCAGAAAAGCAGGTTCAGTTTTATGCTCGATGTAACGTGAATCACACCTGTTCTCCAAACCTGGCCCTAGATTGTTAATCCCCTGCTAGAGCACATCTTGTTTGAGGTGATCAACAGAATTCGGTGGAGACTGATGACCAGTTAAACCGCTCATTCAACCAGGGCTGGAGATACTGGTTTCTAGTCAGCCTACAGACTCTTTTCCCAGAAGTCTTTAGGATAGTCTACATGTTATTCAGTAGGTATGAGACAAGCCTTGTGTTTATTTTTAACTTTCAAAGCAAACGAGGCCTGGAAAGGAGCGCTTCATGTTCTTTTCTTAGTGATTTTCTTTAGAACAGCGCTGACGTGTTGTTTTGTTGATATTTCAGCCTACTTCCTGTTGTCAGACATTTTCAAATTAATTATTCACTTTTACTTTTTTCTAAAAATCTCTCTTCCCCTAAGAAATGAAATAATTTTAAACCCAAAATTAGCATTTACTTAGATTATCTTGGTTTTTATAGATTTTTTGCTGATCTGAAACCTTCAAGTGTGACAAAATATATATATATACATAATAATAATAAAAAAAAATTTCCTCTTTCATCTTGACCTCACCTGTATGTCCCCTTTGTGTGGGCCTCTGTGTCCATACATGCACTCCACCGTGGCTTTTTTACAGTCCAACAAGTGAATACGGAAGAGCGGCCGCCTTCTCATGGGATCTTCCACGCGGGGGTCATGAGGTGGCAGATACATCCAGCCGATGACGAACAAACCGTCCACCTAAGAGACATTCAGTCATGTCAAATGCCCTACCTCGGCCCAACGTAGCGTCGCTTTAACCTATTAGGTCAGTCGACTTTTTAAAATGAAAATCTTCATGCAAATAAAGTCAGAAAACACTAAACTGCTGTCATCATGGCTTACCACAACATTGAGTAATCCACCGTACGGGCCGATGTCGGGCTGCCACAGGCCCAAGATGTGCCTGTAGGGATGAAGCACTGCAACACAAGAGCACAGCAGCACGCCACACTAATCAGGATCCTGCAGTGCCGGACTGAAAACGTGCAAAACGTGAAGTTAAAACCACTGGTTAGGTTTTGTTTCATAAGCCATGAATCCCTACAGGTGAAAGCAAAAATAACTATTTTCTCTAGGTCAGCCAAGTTTTGAAACAGCACGCCAAATTATCAGGCCTCAAAAACTCAATTTCACTGTGCAAACAAAAAGTGTGTACATGAAGTTATTACAAGTGTTTGCTTGCAAATTGGAGCAGCATTACGCCGGGGACACACTGGCCGCGGAAGCGCCGCGAAAATGGGACCGCCTTCATTCGGCGCCCTTGTTAAGCTATTCTATAGACCACATGGGCCGCCGAAGCGCCGCGAATCGCCTCGCGCCGGCGCTCCAGCCCGCGCCGTGCAGCGATCATTTCGGCGTTGGCTCTATTTTTTTCGCGAGCCGCGGGTGAATCGCGTCAATTCTGGCAGGAAGTCAAACCTAGACATAAGAGGCAGGCCGGTAAAGTTAACAAAATAAAGCATTTCAAAATAAAATTCCACAATAGTCAAATGTGTTCGTATCAGACACTGCAGAAAAACCACACGAACACGCACACACACACACACACACACACATCGAACTTGTGTGCGTGTGTGACCACGTGAAGGGGTGTGTGGTTTTGGGTGTCTTTTCACCGGAGGAAACAGGACAGAGAGGCAGAAAGTCTGAGGCAAGCAGTTAAGATGGATGACTTTAAATTAATTATGGAAGTTGAGAAACACAAGGAGCTGTATGACCCCCGAAAAACATGATTATTTACGTACCCATTTCGGAAGAAACTGCTAGCATACAGCTGCAGAACTGGAGCGGGTTCCAAGAGATTCAACTGGCAGAAACAACTCATACCATAGGTTCACACACACACACACACACACACACACACACACACACACGCACGCACGCACGCACACACGCACGCACACACGCACACGTACAAACACTCAAACGTAGAGGAAAAGAGCTGAGAAAAGGCAGAGAGGAAATGGAGGACACCAAGTGTTTAAAAGAAAAACTACAGCTGAGCCGAGGCGCGCCTCGACTGGGGCGCGTCTGATCTGAACTGAGGAGCGGCAAGCAGCGGCCGAATTTCGTGAGCGATTCGCTTCTCCGCGCTTCCGCGGCCGGTGTGTCCCCGGCGTTAGGTCCCCCCCCACACACACACACACACACTCCAACATGGTGCAGCTCTGAGGCCTGTGTACATACAGTGTGTGTAAACATCTCTATAGTCCATGTTCTCGTAGTCTGGGAGGAGCTTCATAAAGCGCCCCGACTTCACCCGCGGACTGACACCTGCACAGGCACAACACAGGGGTGTGTAGAGCGGCCTCGGGCCACGCTGAGGTCAGTCACAAGCAGCTTCTGATTTAAAGAGTCAACAGCTGTCTGTACCACTGGGACGTGGTTTACTGGTGTTTTTTAGGCAAAAGTTGATGAATTAAGAACAGATGGGGGAAACATTACTAATTATTCATAAGGTTTTCTAATAAAAGTAAGAACTTCTCCATTCTTTTAGGAAAAAATGATGAATGTTCAAGACCAAAAATAAGTAGGGATGAATTCAGTTCTACACCTGATTGGTAAAAATGACAGGAGAGCAGTGAGAACTGACGTTTCACATAGAGGTCCTGGCTGGAGACTCCTCTTGCTTCCATCTTCCTCAGATCCTCGTTCATGCCGAACTCTGCAGGGCAGACAAGCGTTTCAAGGTGAAAACGCAACTTTATTCAATGTAAATGGCACCAGATTATCTAAAAATGCAGCCGAAGTAAAACATTCTTCTAGAAACAAATTCAAAGGTTACTAATCTCAAAAATTAAACGTGTGACTTAGATTATTACCCAACAGAATATTAGTATACCTAAATACATAACCGTAAACTTTTACTACAATAAACTAGGTTCAGAGGGTAGCTTAAGGGTCAAAGTTCATGAGACTGAGCTGCTTCTCAACTTTGTTGACAAAGCACTAAAAGAACTGTGAAGTGTTCAGTTAAAGGCATTTATGACAGTAAAGCTTTCTGTGACGTAACGAAAACTACATACAGATCTGTTCCGGGCAAACCATCCAATCCTGCGTGAAGCTGTAAAAGCTTCAGGTTTAATTAAAGCACATTCATTTATGTCGCTTCACGCTTTGTTGTCAGCAGTGTTTACCTTCCATGCATCGCTTTCTCCAAATGGTTTCCGTGTTGAGGATTTGTCTGAATTTCCTGCACACAAGCGCGACATTTGGGAGCACTGTTCCAGGAAGCAACGAAAATATCTCCACTAGCAGCTCCGGTGGTAAATCCACCAGCGATTCCGGGTGTGGGGGTCCGGTGCTGGGAGTTGGATCGCGGCAGCTTCTGTTGATATGACCGCTGCCATAATCGCGAGCGTCACTCTGCCCCGCAGTGGCGACGACGCCCCCAGGGCCTCCGCGGCTACCTGTCTCGGTTTTCCGCTGGCCGACAATCTGCTCCCCCTCCTCCTCGTCCATGTCCGAATCGCTGCCTTGGTCCTGCTGGTTGTTCCGCTGTCGCCTCCGGCAGCTACGAGACTGGCCCACCCCGCAGAGCCTGGCACAAACAGCCATCCGTAGTCACCAAACAGGCAACATTACATCACTACATCACATCTATCAGCTGCAGTCTCATCTAATCCTAACCTCGCGAGCGCAAGATGTCTTCTGACGTCACGCGAAGTGCGTTTTTTAAATCTTTGCTAACAAAACATGGCTGTTCATTCACATAAAAGCTGTCAAAACAATGCATTTGCTATTAGCTTTTGTGGAATGCTGAGAATCTGATAACAACGGGATTTTCAGGATTTTTGAATACTTTCATTAAACCGTAGCAGCGTTTTTTGTATTTGTGTTGTGGCTTTTGTGCTTTGTTGAACCGTACGGGCCACCGTAGTTTGGAACGCAAACGCTTCCTCTAGCAAACAGCATAAAATCAAAGCCTAGAAAGACATCCCAAAGGTTTCTAAAATGTTTAGCGTTGAACTAAAGCATTGTGATGTAGAATAATAAAGGATAATCCATAATCGCGTACACTTATTCTTGTCAGTGTTCCCTAGGGCAGCCGTTGGCTACCTCATCACCATCAGTGTATGAATGAGTGGGTGAATGAATGAATGAATGGATGGATGGCTGAGTAAATGTAGTGAAAAGTGCTTGCAGTCCCCAGAAAAGCGCTCTAAAAAGGCAAGCCATTTACCTGTCATTGGTTAAAAAACTAAACGAAAAATTCGAGCCAGCCAGGAGTCGAACCTAGAATCTTCTGATCCGTAGTCAGACGCGTTATCCATTGCGCCACTGGCCCGTTATGAATTCATATAAATAGAAATTTTAAGAAAAGGGGCGAATCTACTAGTTTTACTCTGATTTCAAGTGAGTTTTGTCTCCGTAAATAGTTTAAATGTGACGAATTTCAAGAGCAATCCAGCATCACCGAGGCTAAACATGTTATAGGCATAAAAAACAACAACTAATGTGTTACTGAGTACCACAACCATACAATTTCTCAATGCGAATACGTATATTTGCCCGATTTGGCAACCCCGACCCAAGCTGCTTGCTCTCGAGTCGAATTCAATAATATTTACACCACAACACGAATGTGTCACATTTTTAATTTAAAATGATGTAATATAATCACCTTAAATATATCTAAGTTGTGCCCCTTTTTGCAAAATGCTATCCGATTATGTTTTTGTGGATTATTTGAATGCAGAAACAAACATGGCAACCAAGAACAAAACAGGAAGAACTCCATTACGGCGGGAAATGTGCTGTTATTAAAGTACCACCAAGACAAATGTCCCGTTTTTGGTCTCCTTCAACTAAGCCGAATATATGACTGTAGATGTAGTTAAATGACCGAGAAACTGAAAAGCTCAGCTGAGTAAGACGCAAAGAACTCAGTTTTGTTGCAACATCTGGTGGCTTCAGGTGGAAGAAAACATGAAGGGAGAAATGGATAAACTCGTCTCTCTTGCAGAAGGAGACCATGTCACCGAACTTCAGAATTACCTTTCCGCTTTGACTGATGAAAAGGTAAGTTACTTTAACATTTAAAACCCCGACTGAGTTTTGGTAAAGCCGATTGCTCAATTTTCTCTTGATCGCGTGGTTTCTAGATCAAAGCACTGATGACCTACAGCGCGCTGAAGGGTAAGAGGGTCGGTGCTATGCTGAAAGGCATATTTAAAGGTATGTCTAACGTTCTGCCTGTACATCACATCACAGTCAGCAGTTTATCATCCCAGTTACTATAATCAGACCTTGCGTGGTGCCAGAAAGCGGTAGTTTAACGTCAAGTTAATCCAAGTTAATAAAAATATATTTAGGAAATATATGTAAATGCTGCTAGTCCGTGAAATCTCACCTGATTCGAGCTGTCTCACTCCCATGCTGCTGATTGGCTGTCTTACTTGCAGCTGTATTAAAACACACAGTGCATACTGTTACATCACTGCATTTAGTCAGATAATAATTTATTTATACAAATCAATTTTTGGACTAGAATATAATGCAATTTATTGTCACTATACACAAGTACAATAAAAAGGCAGCTCCTTCAGTGCAGTCAGACAGTAAAAACAATAAACATACAACGAATGCAAAGTTGGATGCAAAGTTGCGCTATATACATATTGGCTATTGCAGTTATTGTCAATAACATATAGATACAGATTGATGAGCACAAGGGAGACCTGAAGTCAGTTAATGCCAGTGCATGTGGGAGTTTAAGATGGTTATGTCACTCAGGGAAAAAAAATTGTCCTGGTTGTGATGCACAGAGGGAAGGCAACAGCCAGGGTGGGAGTTGTCCTTGATGATGTTTCTTGCTCTGCTGAGGCAACGGGAGGTGTAAATATCAACGGGAGGTGTAAATATTAGGGCGTGTAGGAGGCAGCCGAAGATCTTCTGTGCTGCATTTACAACCATACAACCAGCCTCTCCCTGTCGCCATGTCAGCATGGTGCAGCTGCCATACCATACTGTGATGCAGTAGGTCAGCAGGCTCAGTAGTAGCAGGTTGTGGTGCTACCTGGGGACCCTCAGGAAGTGTAGCCCCTGCCTAGCCTTGACTATGACAATTACAGAAATGGGCTACTAAAACAACAAAGTAGTAACAGTAGTGAGTAAAGGTAGTAATAACGCCAACATACACAGCAATGAAAAGAGAAAAAGCGCAAAGAGGTAAAAATTTAAGATTCTGCAGCTGCAAGAGCTGAAGTCGTGAGCGTAGGCCATACGTCAGGAGCTTCTAGAAGCGTCTTAGCCAATTAACATTATAAGTGCTTCTTTTTAAAAGACCATAAGAGTTACGTTTTATTTTGTCAGTAGCCTACATTAATTTCTAAATCTGAAACACAGTTCAGCATAACAATACAAAACACGCGCTTTAACTTTTAGTTTGTAGAGTTGAGCTAGGCCCTCAAGCTAGTCCCGATGCGAACGACATACCTCCACATTGGGGCTTTATTTATCTCCCTTCCCTTTTCTCCGTTTTCTGAAAGCCGCTTCGGTGGCTTCGTGTTTTTAATATGAAAATATTGTGTTTGCATGCGTCAACGATGTTTTCTACCTGAAGCGAGATGCGCTCCGATAACTCATGCCCCTCCCCCTCCTGCTGCTGCGTTCAGGGTCAAGTTAATTAAGTAGGAAATTACACGAGTTCTTTTCTTATCAATTTCTGCATTTAATTCTGCATTTCCATTGTTACCAGCAACAGAATAGCGCCAGATTTACCATATAAGTCAGTTTGGTGACGGATTACAATAAAGTTGTTTTTTTTCCTGTAGGTTCTCCATCCAATTCCTCTGAAGGAGCAAATCGCAGACTTCTTGTCTATGAACACTGCATCCCTCTGTGTGAGTCTGGGGATCTTCAGGCTGAGGTGGCTGCTGATATGATCGGTCTACTGATGCTGGAGGTACAAACAAACCCCTCGTTATTATGATATCTTACAAGCCACCTTTCTGATGAGCGTTATGCATGATTAGAAATTGCCTAATGTAACTTGGGTTGTTTAATTTTCAATTTCCTCTGTGTGTAGACTTGTCGTATTAGTGTTTTAATCCTGTCATATTTAGTCCTTTACATGTCTGCTCTCTGGCGAAGGAGCTGCAGGTAGCAAAGGCCACTGTTACTTCTTTATTACCGGTTTACTGTTTTATAAAGACATAACAAAGCAAAACACTTTTCTATTGTATAGTTGTTATATTAAACCGATCAAAATAAAAACAGATTTTCTTTATTATAATTTGAAATTCAAGGCTTTGAAGTAACAAAAAAAAAAAGCTACATTGTTGAATCTTTTTGTTTTGAATGTTGCACATAGACTCACACACTCTCCGGACCGTCTCTTGCAAAACTGGCATCTTTGTTTGTGGACGCCATTAAAGTAGGGAAAATGGGCAGTGGGAAATCCCTGGAGCTGTTTCCTACCGTTCTTACTGCTCTCGCTGCGTGTGAAGCCCTGACGTATGGCAAAGGTAACGTCAAAATAATCTACGGTAATTTTAAAAAGGGTCTAAATTGTAAAGTCTCTCTTTATTTGTTTATTTTAGGGGAGCTAAGTGGTGAGGAATACAAGAAGCAGCTGATCAACAGCCTCTGCTCCAGCAGGTATGAGCGCTGCATCAATCTGCTCAGATTTAAGTTCAATTTACAACAAAATGTCTCAAACTATTTTAATTTTCTCATATTTGTATCCAGATGGGACCCGCAGTGTGTCATCCACTTTACAACCATGTTCAGGTAAAACCTTCATTTATAAGCTGATCACAAATTCGAAAGCATATTTCTGAAATTTTGTGAGTTTTTCTGAAAAGTTAGACTTTTTTGGTGGCTCTTGCGTATTTATCAGAGTGATGCTGCTTCTATATTTGTTTTTTTTCTATCTCTGAACCTTTATTCTGTGCACCTAATTCCAGGGATGTGCCCTTGTCACTAGAGGAGCTGCAGTTTCTGGTGGAGAAAGTAGTGAGGATGTTCGCCAAACTAGATCTGCAGGAGATCCCGCCGCTGGTTTACCAGCTCCTGCTTTTGTCTGCTAAAGTACGCCTGGTTCTGCAGATACGAGTGAATTTTCTCTTTCTGTTAATGATCCTAATGCATTTTTTTTCCTGTTTTATGTTGGTTTCAGGGTTGCAAGAGACAGATCTTGGATGGGATCATTAGTTACTTTAAGGAGCAGGACATTCATCAGGAAGAAGAGGAGAAACATGGAGAGTCAGTGACTTGTGATCTTCAAGCAGCTCTCTCACTCTGATCCTTTTTATTCAACTTTAATTTGTCTCGTCTTTCAGAAATCTGGATTTAGAGGTTCAGTCCATTCCTCAAGACCAGCTGAGGCACGTGGAGGGCACGGTCATCCTCCACGTTGTGTTTGCGATTCGGCTGGACCATGAGCTCGGGAGAGAGTTCCTTAAAGGTTTTAAGGTTATTTGCACTGCAGCTTTTATGTGGGATTGTAAAAAAAAAAAAAAAATAGCCATTTTAAACATGAGTTGTCAGTTGAACTGTAATGTTTTTGCCTTTCTGCAGACCTCATATGGGGACTTGTGTCCGTTCAGTGTTGCCTTATTGCTCTCGGTCGCACGTATCCAGCGTTACGAGGAGCAGGTAGGAGAGGTTCGCAGATCTTTTCTTTCATAACTGATTATTGTTTGATTCGTCATTTTCCTCCGTTTTTTTTAGGTGTTTGACCTTTTGAAAGCAGCTGTAGTGAAGAGCTTTAAGGACAAACAGCTACTGCAGGGGTCAAAGTTCCTGCAGGACCTCCAGCTGGGCCAGTGCAGTGCTGCTAAAATGATTCTGGACACAGTCAGGAACAGGTTAGTCCTGATCTGTTTTAAACCTTTAAAAGTAGAGAGAAAAAAAACATTCATCTTTGAAATAAATGAAATTAAAAGTGTGGGTTGTTATTCTTCCTCATCTGCAGCGTATTCGGATGGGATCATGTCACTCAGGGAATGGTCCAGCTGGGATTCTTCCTCATGGACGCATTTGGACCCAAACCTGGACCGTTTGGAAAGGCCTCTGAGGGTTCTGGTGGTGTAGCCCGGACCCCCTCTCAGCAGGCATGTAAGCTGGGAGGACAGGTGCTCCTACAGGGCTTCAAGGTGCAGTAGCATTTTTGTTTTCATTTAAACTTTACAACTTAAACTCCTGATGTTGACCCCATGCTTTAATCTGCGTCATCGGACAGATGCACGAGCCAATCAGAGGCGAGATTCTGGAGCAGGTCTTGAATCGTCTGGTCACAAAGACGGCCTCGCCTGTCAGTCATTACTTAGGTAATAAATAGATTAGATAGTGTAACCGGATTACAGGATACAATAAGATAATTAAAAGAAAAAATAAACAAATGGGCCAATAATTAGGTTCGGGGAGAATTGGAGGTTGTTTAAGAATGACTGGAGTCACGGGTATAGCATGAAACGGTTTATATACTAAATTTTAATAATAATGGGAAATATAACACATAAAGATAACACACAAAAACAGATGAAAACAATCGACAATAGTAAATTGGTCGGTATGAGATTTGATCATATGAGTCACAAGTCAGCCGGCGTCAAGTCAAATCCCCACGCTTGGGGTGAAAGTCAGAGTCCGGTGGTGCGATTTTTTCCTACCGCACTGTTGAGATTGTTCACAGAAGAGAGCAGTCTGCTCTTCAGTTACTTGAGATGTCCTGGTTCGTTCAGTGGTTAAGGCTCGCCATCTCCCTCGTCAGGAAGAAATCCAGTTCTCGTTCCAAGTGAGTGATCATAGGAGTCGGGATCAAACCCAAGGAAAAAAAAAACCCAGCCTGTAAACAACAGGACTGTTAGCAAGTTGGCATCGACCCTTCTCGTCACATCACAGCATAAAGTCTTACAGACTTAAACAAATGCTTCACTCTATTGGCATAGCCAATCATGTTTGGGTTCACAGTTCAACTAACATAACATCAATTTGATTGTCTATTAAAATAATTCTCAGTAGCTCTGGAAATATAATTACATATGACAACAATTGTTCAGCTCAATAGGCTCAGTTAGATTCTATTGCTCTACACTATTCGACAAGAAATACATTCATGACAACAAGGATACATTTAGTTGTGTTTCTATACAGCATTGTGACACCTTGTATATCTGTAACACAATAAATAAATAAATAAATAAATAAATAAATAAATAAATAAATAAATAAATAAATAAAATGTTCTATAACAAAATTCAACAAAATATAAATTCTGGTCCTTTGGTCCACCTTTGTAAAATAATTCCTCCCTAATCAGTTAGCTTTTATTTATTTTTATTTATCTATTTTTTTTTTTATTATTAAATGTTTGGTTAAGGGACGCATTGCTAATTCTATGGCGTTAGCTATAACGCCCCTGAGGACCTTGTACATCTAGGCCGTACCACCATTAACTGGCGGTTTGAGCCGTTAACTCCTGGGAATCCCATATGCCGTACCGCCGTTAACTGGCGGTTTGAGCCGTTAACTCCTATATGCCCTACCACCGTTAACTGATAGTTTGAGATGTTAACTCCTGGGATCTAACGTCTAGCAGCCCACTGCTGTCACCTCGGTTGCTGTAATTAGCTTTTTGAATTTAATAATTTACTGAATTTAATCTCATTCACTCACCAACGCGCTCCAACGGTTCCCTCCTACAGAGGATTGGTTCACTCTGTCGTCTCCACACAAATCTATAAGAATGGAATTAATTTGATAAGCTATTTAAGTTTCCTTTTTTTTTAAGTTGCATCGTTAGCTTTTTCTCTTCTTTTTTCTTTACTCACCGCGTTGGTTCCAAGTTCCTAGCTCTTATTAGAAGGAGTCAAGTCCGCCTCTTCCTCTATCTATGCGGCACCCAAATCAGGGTTCTTCACGGCCTCGACCGTTGTTTTTTTTTTTTCTCTCTCTCTCTCTCTAACCGCTCAGTCTTTGCTTTCTGTATCTGCGTGCTGCACAGCCGTTTGTCTCTCCTCTCGCTCAGCTGCGTCGCACGGTTTTATTTCGCGGAGGCGGGACTTATTTCTCTCAGCCAATGAAATTTCAGATTCCCACCTGGACCAATAGTATACAGCTTTCCTCTTCTGTTTCTGTTAGTGATGTTCAAGATTCTTGTTTTAACCGATGTTTAATATTAAACTCGTTATTTTAGATATTCACCCTTCCAATAATTCATTATGAAATTATCTATTAGTTAATTAGATATCTATTAATTAGTATTGTTAATTTCCTTAATTTATATTTTATATTTTATCTAAATTGAGGATGGATCATATTAGTAAGCCAATTAGTTAATACCTCATTAAGGTTCTAGCTTCTGGGTTACATCCTCCCCCATTAAATATCATGCACGTCCCTGTGCATTGTTTCTACGGGGTACACAACTTCTTGAGTAAGAGAGTCAATAAAAGCTTTATTAAGTCCTTGGAAAAGGGACCTAACTACGGTCACTAGTGGATTGCCCAATTGAGAGTAAGTTAGTCTTTGAGAAGGCTGACTACTTCGTTCAGATCTCCTGACATACATCTCTGGTTGCACAGTATCATGCTCATCCGTTTCGGTTTGATTCTCAACTGAGACAGGACGAAGTGAGCTCTCTGTTTCCGACAGAGCTGATGAGCTATTCTCTAAGACTTTGGTCTTTTCAGATGTATGTGTCTGATCGTGTATGATGGGTTCAAAACTTACATCACGTTGCTGCGACTTTAGGACACCATCCAATTGAGGTAGGTTTGTGTTAGTTTCATCCCCCGTTTCTACGTCAGGTAAGTATACTTCGGTTTTTTTCGTTTTTTCAGGTAAGTATGTTGCTGCTTCTTTCACTCTTTCAGGTAAGAATGTTTCGGTGTTGATGCCTTTGTCAAGTAAGGACAATTCAGCATTTTCATTACCAGCTAAGGTTGGTTCCTTGCGATCCCCTGTGTGTGAGGATAGTGTGTTTTGTTGTTGAATATTATTTACCGGTCCTGAATCTGCTATGAGTTCCCTATTTGGCAAGGTGACCGCTATTTGATAGGATGGTCGGTTTAGCACTTGTGGAAGATCAGAGTAATAAAACTCATCTACCTCTTCGTCAAGTGGCTCATCTGGGTCAGGTTCTAAGGCTGAACTCTGTCTTGTATGAGGTCTGCTAGGTTTCGTAACGCGTTCTGTTTCATTTTCTAATGAAGAGAGAAAACCACAAGGCAGTAAAAGATCTCTGTGGAGTGTTCTGTTGGGTCCTTCTCCGTTCTCTGGTTTTACAGTGTATACTGGCAAGTTTTCCATCTGTTTGAGAACTATATACACTGTTTGCTCCCATTTGTCTGCTAATTTATGCTTTTCTCTTAAGCGAAGATTTCGGACTAAAACACGATCTCCCACACCTAGTGTGGACTCACGAATGTTTCTGTCGAACCGTTCTTTGTTCTTCCTCGCTGTTTTTTGAGAGTTTTTTATGACAATGTCATAACTCTGTTCCAGATGACTCTTCAGTTCTTTAACATACTGAGAATGAGTTATAGAGGGCTTGTTCAAATGCGGTAACCCAAAGGCAATATCTATAGGCAACCGAGGCTGCCTACCGAACATTAGCTCGTAGGGAGAGTATCCCGTCACGTCATTTTTTGTACAATTGTACGAGTGAGTAAGTGGTTTTACAAAATCGCGCCAGTGATGTTTCTCAGTGGCTTGTAAAGTTCCCAACATGCTGAGTAATGTACGATTGTACCGTTCAACGGGGTTGCCACGAGGGTGATAAGGGCTCGTTCTGACTTTACGGATACCAAGTAAAGAACAAAGTTCCTTGATTGTACGTGATTCGAAATCCCGTCCCTGATCACTATGAAGACGCTCAGGAAACCCGTAGTGGACTAAAAAATGTTCCCACAGGTTCTTCGCGACGGTGGTGGCTTTCTGATCTTTGGTTGGGATGGACACTGCATACTTTGTAAAATGGTCTGTAATCACTAAGACATCTTTAGTGTTCTTACTGTCTGGTTCTATGGAGAGAAAATCCATGCAAACTAACTCCATAGGTCTGGTGGTGGTAATACTCACCATTGGAGCAGCTTTGTCAGGGAGGGCCTTCCGACGGATACATCTTTCGCAAGTTTTAACTTTGATTTCGATATCACTAGCCATTTTTGGCCAGTAAAAACGGGACCGAATGAGATCTGTCGTACGTTCAACCCCAAGATGCCCCATATCATCATGTAGGCTTTGCATGACTGTTGAACGTAATGAATCAGGCAAGACTAACTGCAATGATGTCTCTGGTCCTAATTGGCGTCTCCGGTACAGTAAATCATTTTGAAACTCAAACCGTTTCCACTCTCTCAAAAGGTTAAGAACCACCGGGGGTTCTGCAATAGTATCAGTTGGCGGTTTATTGTCAGTCATAAGCAGCTGAATGACTCGGCCAATGGTTGGATCTTTCCTCTGCAAGGAGACAAGGTCAGCATGGTTATACTTGGGCACAGCAAAGAAACTGTCACTATTGTCTTCCAACTGGAATAGGTCTGGAATGGCCGCTGCAGACATGGCAAGTGACTGAACTAAACCACAAGGAGAATCAGTCTCATCCAAGACCATGTGCTTTTGGCATGTTGCCTTCACTGCTTCGGCTTGAAGTTGAAGCTCGACTTCTTTGACAGAGGATAAAAGATGAGATCGGAACTCATCTAGTCGTTGGCATTCCTCAGTGAATTTTGAGTTGTCTTCAGGTTTATCATGCAGCCTCCTAGACAGGCCATCCGCGTCAACGTTCTGTGTACCTGCACGGTATCTGATGTCAAAATTATAGGTGGACAACGCAGCTAGCCAACGATAGCTCGTTGCATCGAGTTTTGCCGTTGTTAAGAGGTAAGTTAACGGATTATTATCAGTAATGACAGTGAATGTGTTCCCATACAAATAGTCATGAAACTTATCTGTTATGGCCCACTTTAAGGCTAGAAACTCCAACTTGTGCGCAGGGTACCTAGTTTCACTAGAGCTTAAACCGCGACTTGCATAAGCGATTACCTGTGTGACACCGTTTTGCACTTGGTATAGCGCTGCACCGAGTCCGGTCGTACTAGCATCTGTGTGTACTAGATATGGGAGTTTTGCGTCAGCGTAGCCAAGAACTGGCGAAGTGGTAAGTTTTTCAATAATAGTTTGAAAGGACTTCTCACAGTCTTGGCTCCAACGATTCCCAAAGGGTTCTTTGGGGTTCAAGTACTTTGATCTACATGGTGGTGTTTTAAAGTTTTTCCGTTTGGGTGGATAACCAGCCGTGAGAGATGTTAGTGGCTTGACAATA